CCCAACCCAACCCCAACCCCAACCCCAAACCCCAAACCCAACCCCAAACCCAAACCCTTTACCAAACCCAAACCCAAACCCAACCCCAAACCCAAACCCATTACTTTTGTTGGTGAATATAGAGAAGGATTAAAATTTGGGATTTGGGATATTTTGGAAGAGATTTAATATATGTGAATTTAACAAAATATATTAGTGGATTTGGATTATATGATACTTAAGGATTAAAGAATAAAAAATGGTTTGATTTGAATTAAAATTTTAACGAGTAATATTATATTTATAATAGTTACATATAAATTATTTATTAAGGAGAGTATAATAATGGTAAAAGGCAAGGTTATTGAAAGACTCTTTTCAGATATGATAGATAAAGTAATTTTGAGTAGATGTAAATAATAAATTATATTAAATAAACAGGTGTAAGGGTTTTTATAATGATACTGGTTAAAAGAATGGTAAATGGATAGAATTGAATAATAATTTTAATCAGTAATATTATTATTTATAGAATATAAGTACTTGTCAAGTTATTAATTAAGGAGAGTATAAAAATGGAATTTACATCAATAGATGGGATACAATGTATAGATATGATGAATTCATGGATTTCTATATTTGTAAAATTATCAATAAATATATAATATATAATTGTGGAGGTAGCTTTGATCATAATGGTTATAAGTATGGAAAATGGATAGAATTATGGGATAAATTTGAAGAGTATTATGGAATTTAAAGTTTAGTTAGCGTTAAGTAATTTTTAATGGAGAGTATATAATCATAAAAAATCTGGTTAATGGGATATAATGTTTAGATATACTTTTAGGGATTAATTTAAAAAAGTGTTAATTTTTATTCAGAAAATTATCTTAAAAGAGTGGAGGAGAATTATATAATGATAATGGTTTAAAATAAGGAATATGGATTGATTTGAGTGAAAATTTTTAATTATAAGATATTTTTAAAAAGATTTCTTTATTATTAGGGATTTATAAATTGTGTATATTAAAATGGTATAAAATGTGGTTTGTGGGTTGAAATGATTAGAAATAGAGAAAAAAATGATGAAGGATTTAGAATTTTGGGAGTTCAATTATGAAAAAATAAATTGAATCAGGAAAAATTATAAGATACATTTTATTATTAAAATATTAATACTTTAGAAAAATTCTTATATTTATTAAATTTAATTAATAAAATTTAAAAAAATTGTCTAAAATCAAATTAATATTATGTAATACTTTAATTCAAAAAAATCATAACTTTTATTTAATTTATTTCATTTAAGATTAACTTTAATATAGGTCATCAATTCAATAAGGATCTTTTCGAAAATTAATATTTGTGTAATTGATAAAAATTTCAATCCCTTATTTCAATGAATTATAAATATAAATTAATAATGTTAATATAATTAGAATCTTGTTTAATTGCATTGTTAGACTATTTATTGATTAAATTAATTAAAGATATTTTTAATAGTTCATAGATCGTAATTTATTATATATATTTAACCTGCTAAGTTACTGTAAAAATGTAAAGTTTGTTTCAAATGATAAAATTATTGATTTTAATGGCACAAAATATCTGATGTTTTTAAAAAATCACAAAATAGATAAATTATTAATTTATTTTTTCAATATTTTTATTCCAATTTTTCCTGCAGATGATGAGCTCTTGCTAAACTTTTAATAGCTAAAATATTTTGTTTAAATCTTTATAATAAACAACAAGCTAAACATTATTATGCCATTTAATTGTGAAAATAAAATTCATTGTTTAATTAAAATATTTTGTTTGTTCATAAATTTTGTTACTCTAAAAATTGAATATCTTTTTTTGTAGTCTAAATGTAGTAATTAAATTTAAAGTTAAAAACATATTAATCATTTGGTTTGATAGAATTATGTGTATCCAATATAGGGAATGAATTATTTGACCGAATCATGCCTTGACCTCTATTAATATTATTTTTACCTCTTTATTAATAATTGTAGAGAAAATTCATCAAACTTTAGAAAAATCTTCATTATGAGAAATAAATTAAAATTAATTTTTCTTATTTCTCTGAAAATTGTCTGTGTTCTAAATTTCAATTACTTTAATTAATTCCAAATATTAATAGTCTTATAATTTATATTCATTATATACTATTAATATAAATTAAGATCAAATTAAAGTTAATAGTTAATCCTTTAGAGATATTTTGTAAGCAATCAAATCCGCTAATTCCACTTATTTATAGATAATTAACCATAAATAAAAAGTTAAAAGGAGATAAAATATTTTTACTAATTTCTAATATTAGTTATTTAATAATTTATATAGATTAGAATTTAGTAGTTGGAATAATGATTGTGGATTAATTCTAATCATTGAAAATAAACTTTTTGTGAAAAAAATTTATAATATTATTATGAATATATAATTAAATTTAGATATAATATATATTGTCTTAAAAAAATAGGAGGAGAAAAATACAATGAAATTTTGATTTTATTCTTTTTTTTATTCAGATATCTATTAAGGAGAAAAATGTAATAAAAACTCCTTTATATCAATGTTAAATTAAAATTCACTATAAAAATAATTGGAGGAAACGAAGGAGGGCGCATATTTTGAAAATTGCAAAATTTCTTATTTCATCAATAGAAATGAATTTGGGGAAATTTTAAACTATTGTAATACAAAATTTTATTTATCGATTAAAACTATAGTAATACAAAATTTTATTTATTGATTATTGAACAAATTTATCTTGGAAGTATAATTTAACTTGTTTTTGGGTATTGGTTAATAATTATTATTTTATGAAACTTATTTAACATAAAAGCAGTAGATATATTACCAAAATTTATAACTTGTTTACCTTAGCATTACTTCTGAATAAAATATAAAACATATTAGCTTGTCCATTTAATAATTATAAAGATGCAATAATGAATAGTGAAAGTTAAACATGGATGAAGATATTACCTGAGAATGAAGCAGTTGCATTAGGATTTTGGACATTCAGCATACCATTATTCGTTAAATCTGAAAATTCAAATGTTGGTTAAGAATTTAAAATTGATGAACCATCATTAGGGGAATTTCTTTTTTTATTAAGAAATACTGAAAATAATGAACATATAATTGTTGGTTATAACTCATTTGATTATATTTAATAAAAAGTACATCACATATTTCGTTTTAAAAATAGTGCTGAAGTTTAAAAAATGGATTTTCATTTTGAATGCTTACAGTATGAAGGAAAATGGATATTTCATTTAATTATTCTAGAGAAGAAAATATAAAAAATAATGATAAAAGTAAATTAATAAGAAGAATAATCAACCAATTTTAATTTTGAAAATCAACTAAATTTAGGAATAACTATTGGAGGAAAAGGATATGTAATATTTTTTATAATATCTAGATCAATAATCTAAATCTTAACTATTTTAAAGGAGTATTTACTGAATTAATATATTATCCAATAATTGCTTATTAAGAAAGCCTATTTTAAAAATTAATGAATTATTGCAAGATTCCTTAGAAAATAGATAAGGAATAAATAATAAATATTATACAAGGACTAAAGATTTTTAAAGGAGATTAGGTTCTATAACTACCAATTGATCATTATGGAAATAATTATTGTTTATAAGGATGGGTTAAATATAAATTGAAGAATATTAATGAGGAAAGTCAAATTTTAATAAAAATCACAGGATTGAATAATTTTGAATAAGAGAAAATTCTAGGGGATGAACTATTTAGATTTGAAGTATATTTTTCAAGAAATAATCCTGAATAAACACAAATTATAGTAAATGCAGATGCATATGGTATGCCAATTTAATAATCATTTTAATCTCAACACGATTTGTTTTTTTAGGGATCCAGTAATTCAAAGTATGATGTGATTTAAGCAAAAAAAATTTATAAAGATCTGTAGAGTTAAAATTATTTTGAAGGATTATAGTAATGGCATTATATTTAATATGAATATGGTAGGAATAATTTAAATGAGAGAATGTTATTGATGATTAAATTTTCAAATGAATTAGGATTATTAAAAGACAATTTAGGAAACGATATCTTTAGTGGTTCTTTTAGAAATTATAAATTTAATCTTTTTTTTGGAGGAGATAACTTAAATAATAATATAATAAATCATAATTTTCTTAATGGCAATATATATGATTTCAAATTTTATTATAATTATAATGAAGATAAAGCATTTATGTAAAGTATTTATTAATTAAAATATCATTAGATTGTCATTATTCTTGTTTAACTTGCAATGGACCTTAAGAATAAAATTGTTTAACATGTGATCCAAATTCAAATAGATATTATTAAGAAGAATTGAATATGTGCAAATGTTATTCAGAGTATTTAGATAAAGGGATTTAAATTTGTGATAATTAATTTGATTCTTCAATCATATTAGAAGAATAATAAATAAATTTAGAGATTTCATGCCCACTTGGATACTTTAGATTACCTAATAATAAAGGAAATGAATATGATTGTATAGAATGGTATTATATGAAAATTAAATCTTAGTCCATCTTAAATTAGAATGAATTCAATATAATGTATTGATTGTTTGTTATATCCAAAAACATGGTATTTAAAACCTGTTTGTAAATTAGATTATAAATAAGTTTTTTCAAAATATAATGATGAAACTTTGATTATGAAAGAGAGAATACCTATGTAATATGATGTATATCTGATTGGAAATGATTAATAGTTACATTTACATACAGAATATGAGGATTATTGTGAATATACTTTAGATGTAGATGTTTATTGTCATAAAATAGCCTAATCTCATCTTGGCACTACAGCTACATTAAAATGTAAATATAATTACTTATATGATATGGACAATTATGTTTGTTTGAAAAGTAAATACATTTGTAAAACATATGATATCTCTGGATATTGCATCAATTGTCTATCTAATATGTACTTAATTTGGTATTATTGTACTCCTTGTCCTAATACTTGTTCTTCATGTTAAAATAATGGATTAAATTAAGCACTATGTTAATCTTGCATATCTTAATATACTATTAAAAATGGATAATGTTTAAAATGTGGTATCAATTGTGAAATTTGTGAAGATTCCTATAATGAGTCTTTAAATTATCATTATTTAAAATGTTTAAAATGTATTGATCCCTCTTTATACTTATTTTCACTTGATGGTATTAATTGCATTTAAAATACTATTTAACATTGTAAATATGCATTCTAAACTTTGATTGATGATTTCACTATAAACTCTCTCGATATTAATTTTAATCCATAATTTGATCAAAGTAAAATAACATTATTATGCGCTAAATGTGAATCTAATTATCTATTTGTTTTTGAAAATTAATCTTGTGTTTATTATGATAAAAATGATTAATGTGAAATTGGAATAGGATAATTAAAAAATAGTGATTAATCTCTAGAATTAACATTATGTCTTAAATCTAATCAATATTAAAATTAAGTTGTTGAATTTATTTAAAATTGTAATCAAATAATTGATAATTGTTATGTTTGTCTAGAAACAAACATTCAAAATTATTTTATTTGTTTAGAATGTTTAAATGGATATTATTCAGAATAAATCTCTGGGAAATGTGTTTTATGTCCAATTGAACTTTAATGTATGTAATGTTATTCGCAAAATTCTATTGTTAAAGATTATTGGAAAAAAGAAATTAGAGCTTTTTATAGAAAGTATATTGAAATAAAAAATATACATTAATATATTCAAAATGCTTAAAGTTAGAATGTTAAGGATTATGAAATTATTTGTTCTAGTTGTTAAGATGGATATAAATTATATAAGAATAAATGTTTAAAATATTGTACAGATTCTTGTTTAGAATGCTTATTTTAAGATGATTAATATATTTGTATTAGATGTATAAAAAATGAAAAAGGAAGACAATAATCTCTTTTAAATAATGAATGTATTGATTGCCCAGAAAATTGTTAATTATGTAAGCCAAGAACTTAATTAGAGATTAAATAAATTAATCCTTTATTCAACAGTACGAAATATTTAAAATATACAAATCAATGTATAAAAAGTTATAATGATTAACATTATTATTATGATGAAGATTTAAGTTTATTTGTTGAGTGTTAATTAAAACTTAATAAAGATGGTTGTTTTAAATAAATAATTATTTAATTTAACTTATATCCAGATTAATCTAGTTATTTAAATGATTTAAATCTACTATAAGATGAATAAAGTCGAATTGAATTTAAAAAAATAAATAAATATCTTAAAGATATAAATTCTTTTGATCATTTATTCAGTGAAGTATTAATGTTAATAATAATTATAGTATGAAAATGATGATTTCTACACTTTAGCTAATAAAAAATAAATTAAGTCTATCATTATTAAAATTATTGGTTTGAAGAATGCTCGCTTAATTGTTACTGGAGTTCTAAGTCACTAATTTAGTATTAATATATTTTCAGTAATGTAAAAATAAATTATATAAACTAAAGAAATATTGAACTAGTTTTTGAAATGCAATAAGGAACTGTAATAACTATAAAAGAAGTATTTTAGTTTAGCAATTTCAACAAAATTACATTAATCAATATAATTTTTGATTCATGCAAACCTTGTATTGAATAAAAGAAACTTATTTTTGAGAGTGTTTTCCCTTAAATTATTACTTTCGAATAAATAACAATTTAACAAATTTGGAAACCATATTATTTTGATTATTTACTTATAGAAATGAAAAATGTATAAAGTTTTTTTGCTAATTCTTTAAAATTTATATCATTTGGATTAAGAGTTATTGATAATTTTTTTACTATATATGAATCCAATACAATTAAAACTATTATTTTTCAAGATTTAGAAATTACAAACTGTTAATTTTATGATTAAACTATTTTTAATTTAGGATTAAAATAAGATGATTTGATTGAATTTAATAATGTTAAAATATAAAATACAACATTTAACAATGTAAGTTTTATCTATGTGGAATATTTAAATTAAATTGGAATCATAAAGTTTAATAATAGCCAAATCACAAGTTTCATATCTGATTGCAAAACCTTTTTATCATTATAATATTTTAGAGAAGTAGTAATGATTAATTTTCATTTAACTAAATCAATAATAACAAATTCAACTATTTTAGTACTAAACAATAAAGCCTTTTTAGAAGAAATAATATTCACTAGTAATACTTTTAACACTAATAGCATGGGTATAATTAATATAAACTAATTATCAAATTTAGAATATAATTATTTGTTTTAGAATATCCAATTTGAAAACAATTAATATAGTTCTATTATTAAATTCATTAAATTAAATAAATATTAAAGTTAAACTTAAAGAATAAAAATTGATGAAATCAAAATCATTAATAATTATCTCACAGATGAAACTTTAAATTATAACTAATAATAAAACGATTCTTCTTTAGTATTAATTTAATTTGAAGATATCTATATGACTAATTTTTTTATAAACAGAGGTTTTGGACTTAGTGAATTTTCATTATAAGAATCAAAGATTTTATAAATTATTAATGGGGAAATTAAGCAAGACAAATTCAATTTTTTAGGATTACACTAAAATTTAAATTGCCAATTAAGATATGTAAATGGTTAATTCTACCCTTTATCTATATTTATTGGATCGTTTTAGAATGTTTTTTTATAGAATATCACAGTTTCATCAACTTCATCATACAATTTTCCAATTATTTAGATATAATCTGCTCTATTGAGTCAGACAAAGAATTTAGAAAAACTTATTTTAGACGGTATAAATTTTCTGTCAAATTTATTAATATTAACTGATGCATAATTATAAATCTGTTTAATATAAATTAATTCGTTATAGGAAATTTTAATATAATTAAATAATTTATAGTTTATACAAAATGTTTTACATGAATATGATTAAGATGATTTAATAAAATAAAATGGAATGTTATCAATTAATTGTCCTAATTGTTAAATTATATTATAAAACTCAATATTTGTTAAAAATATTGTAACAAATAGTAGTGGAACAATTTTGTCGATTAATTCTAAATCATTGGAATTAAAAAATAATAGTTTTGAAAGTAATAATATTTTTAATTATTCTATACTTTAACCTCATATATTATGGGGATTTTCTTAGCTTGTAACTTATGAAACAATTAATTAAATATTTAGAGTGAAATCATTATCTGGAAATGGGATGTTTTGGGTTTAAACATTGAATATATTAAATAATAGCTTTTAAAATAGTGTTGGATAATAAGGAGGTTGTTTCTCTATATTTGCTTAAAGATCATCAAATATTATAATTCAAAATAATTAATTTTTCAATTTTTCTACATAATTTTATTAAGAAATAGAATAAGGAGGAGTTATCTATATTGATGGTTCATCTGTCACATCTCTTTAAATTTTAATCCAAAATATCAAAGTTTAAAATATAAATTGTAGATAATATGGTGGATTTCTTTATCTCAAATCTAATAAGTCTTTAACTAATCTTCATATTATTAATATGATTTTAAAAGATGTATATGCATAACAAGGATCTGTTATATTTACATCATATTCAAGATTAGTTGAAGATCTATAAACTATATTCATTTCAGGATTATAAATAATTAATTCTCATAATGGATATTTCTAATTTTTAAATAAATTTACAATGATAACTGATAATTTTGAAAAATACTATCTTATTAATAATAGAACTTCAATTTATGTAGAATATGGATCAGAAATAATTATTTAAAATGTTTCAGTATATTATTTAATTTTAGAATCTTTTTTTAATTCATAAAACATAAGAAATATTACTATTGATACAATTATAATTGAAAACAGTTATATAAGTAATTAGTTAATGTTTATAAATCCCTTAACATGTATTTATTAAACTTTAAATATTAGATATTGATGTTACAATAAGATTACGTAATATAAAGATAGAATTAATAAATATTGGATTCGAATTTTAAAATTTAACTTGTTTAAATTCAACATTTAGGTAAAGTGATACTTTTTATGAATGTCCAATAGAAATTTAATAAGCCCCAAAATAACTTTCATCTGTTTCCCAAATTAATGAATCAAATGGATTCTGTTTCTATAATTCTATAAAGAAAGAATTAGATTTATCTCATTCAGGATTGATATTCTTAAAATGTTCAACTTTTTAATGTTAAGTGGAGATTGTTGAAATATATCTTAGGCATATATTTTGTGATGTTTGTAATTTTGGATTAATTTCTACAGAACTTCAAGAATCAATATAAATTTAATTTAAGATTTAATTAATTAATAAAATAAGAATATCGAATTCAAATTGTGGTGAAAAAGGATGCATTGTTGTTCAAAAAACATAACAAGTAAGCAATCTAAATTACAATGAATAATAGAATTCATCTCAATATGAACTATAAATTTCGAATTATATATGTATTGAAAATATTGGATACAATGGAACTTGTCTATACTTGAATCAAATTAAAACTTAGATTATAAATTCTAATTTTTAATCAAATAATGCTTCAAATAATGGAGGTGCTTTATACATTTTAGGACAACAACCTCTAATTATTGAAAATACTATTATAACAGATAATAGAGCAAATATTGGAGGAGGGTTGTATCTTTTAGATTAATTTCCAATAGATTATAAAAAAACAAATACAATAGTTTTTTAAAATTATGCAATTTTATATAGTAATAATATTGCTTCAATTCCTGAAAAATTGTCAATCCGGTTAAAAAATGATCTATCTATTCTAAATACAACAAATTTGGTAGAAAATTCAAGTATAAAAATTGATGAAATTAAAATATAACCTTTTTATCTAATAAATGGAGAGTTATCAGAATATATAAAATTACCATCTGGATAGCCATTATTTAAATATTAATTTTATGATTGGAAAAATTAATTATTTGTTGAATCCAATATAATTTTTCGTATTTAAACACTTAGTAGAGACATGACTTATAATGAAATTCCATAAATAGAATAATCATCATGTCTAATAAATAGTAGAGTATATAACATTTCAAAAAAAGATTAAAATCAAGAATTCACTAATAATTATACAAATTATAATGAAATAAAATTTAATAGAAATACATCAGATTATAATTTAGATGATTTAATTATATATTTTAATAATGAAGTAGCAAATGAAATAGTATTATAACTTGAATTTAGTTGTAACTCAATAAAAGTTCCAGTATTTAATGAAAAATATCCTTATAATGTTTAGAGTTATCATAATGATTACAAACTTAGAATAAATATAAAGACTTATGATTGTTAATTTGGAGAAATTAAAAATATAACAAAATTTTCATGTGATTAATGTGATTCAACAATAGGTTTATTTTCTTTAACCTTAAATGCTTAAAAGTGTGATATAAAAGATGAAATTTCTACAATTGCTACTTATTAAAATTAATTATAACTTAGAGGTGAATATTGGAGACCCTATTTTGATACAAAATAAATTAGTTATTGTATAAATTTACCAATGAATTGTAATGGTGGATGGAATTAAGGTGATAAATCTTGTCTTTAAGGACATTTAGGAGCACTCTGTGAATAATGTGATTTATACGATATTAGAGGAGATGGTTCTTTCTCAGTAGTAGATAAATATTTATGTGGAACTTGCAGAGATAAAGAAGAGAATTTATTAATTATAGTTGGAGTCATTATCATGTCTATGATATTTATTTTTATTACAGTTTCTGGTAATATTAAAACTGTTGAATTACACACTAAAGCTTTACCCTTTAAAAGTATGAGAATATCAAACTATTTAAACAAAGCTCAATCAGGTATACTAATAAAGATGTTAACAAACTATTTATAAATTATTGTTACTATTACTACCTTTTAACTTCATTTCCCATAAGAATTAAATAGTACAATATTAGCAGTAGGAAACCCATTGTAAACTGTAACTTATTCACTCGATTGTTTTCTAGTAGATTTAATTTTTGTTGTTATTTAATATAGTAGAATGATATGGTAAATTATTATGCCTCTCTTATATATAAACTTTTTTATTGGTTTTTATTTAATAGCAGCTTAATTCAAATTGACTTTTTATAATTCTAGTGTACTCACAACAACTCTAATCTATGTGTACCTTTATTTTTCTCCTAATTTAATCGATGGTTTAGTGTAATTAATTTCATATAGAGAAATATCTGGATATAAATGGATCTAAGCAAATGTATCTGAAAGATATGATACTAGAATTCATCTAAAATGGATGATGTATTTTTGTTTACCATTCTTACTAATTTTAGGAATCTTTATTCCTTGTTAATTATTTTATATACTATATAAAAATAGAAAAAACTTAGATCAAAGATCTACTAGACTTTATTGGGGTTATTTATATCATGAATATAAGAGAGAAGCTTACTTTTGGGAATTAATTAAAATCTTATAAAAAGAATTAATTATCTTATCCCTCATATATTATGAAGACAGTATTGCAGTTAAAGGTATCTTAGTACTTTTTATTACATATCTCTATTAAGAATTAAATAGTAATTACAAACCCTATACATTAAGTAGTCTCAATAAATTAGATTATTATTCAGCAAATATTTGTATGATAACTATTAGTTTAGCTATTGGAGCATATATATCCTAATAATCAGATGTATCTGAACTTTAAATTCTTTTCTATTTTCTGATGGCTCTCTTTAATTTTTTTTTCCTTTATAAAATTATTACCAAAATTATAACTGAGTATTCAAAAACTTATGAATGGGTATTAGATAAAATTAAAGAATCACTTAAATCCAAATTTCCAAATTTAAAAAATTCCATTCATTTTAGAAATATTCTAAAAAACAAAGCAGAAGAAAAATAAAGAGTTTATAGGGCATTCAGAAAATTAAGAGTTTTTGGAATCCCTTTAGCAAAAAGAATAATAGAGTAAAAAACTTAATCTTTTGAAAATTTTAAAAGATTTAAAATAGGTGAAATAATTGATTCTTAAGGAACTCTTAAGGTTGATGCATAAGTTGATCTTTTAGAACCTCAAAGAGTGACAATGTAAAGATTTCTTCAAAGCATTTATTAATGATAAAGCTTATAATATTATATTATGAATCAATTAAATATATATAATATAAGAATTATAAAATAATATAGATATAAAATAACTTCATTCATTTATTATAGTATTACCCTTTAGTTGGTTTTTAATCTCTTTTTTAGTGTCTATCCTAATGTCCACATTTCGTAACAGTTACAGAGATCTACTATTTATTAATCCCTTATAAAGATGAAGGTTTCTAATTTTTATCCTATTTTGGGGATTAAGCTTTTACATTTGAAGGTAGAGTTGATTACATAATCAATTCAGCATATTTCTAATATTTTAATATTTGGATACTTTGATAATCTATAATTCTGGATATTCTATTTACTCTTCACTTTTTCTATCTTCAGCTTCTTTTTTCAAGACACGCATCATCAATTGATTTGCTAATTAAATCTTATCGACTTTAACTAATTCTTCTAATTAACCATATATCTCTATTTTCTAATTGTATTACTATGTTAATTGTATATATTTTTCTTAAACTTCCTTATTTTCTTAACTAAGCTATATCAAAGTCTTTGTCAATTTTTAGTTTTCACTTTCCAAAACAGTTGGATTACTTCTAATCTTTTTCATTGCTTCTTTAACTAATTACTAATTATCAGGATGATGAACAATTTATTTTGTCCATTTAAATTTAATCATTTATTTAAACCATTTGTATGCATTGTATATTTTTATATACACAGATGAAAATACAAAGTTTAATTTTGATTAAAAATATTTCATAATATTTCTTTTGTTTTCTAATATTAAAAATATATTTAACACAGATAAAACTTTTTCTTATTAATTTGGAAATAGTAATTTTATTTAATTATCAAATTGGTACTTTTCTTTAGTTTAATCAATAGTTTAATTTAGGTTTTATATTTTCTATTTTAAATTTTCAATAATTATTTATTAACTATCTGGTTTTTCTTTTTATTCTTACAAATTCTTAATTTATCTTCTTAGTTCTTCTAATTCTTCATCTTTCTATTAAATTTTTAATGTTGCTTCATTTAATTTGTTTCTAAAATCTGAAGCTTACTATGCTTTTTCTGCTTATAATTTAGTAATTTCTTCTTTAGCCTTATCTGGTATTACTTATTCTTTTTATTATTTTAATTAACACCCAGCTTAAATTTTTTATACTCTTGATAATTATTATTTCAATGATTCTACATCTTTTTAATGTTTTTATTTTAATGTAATAATGTCTTATTTTAATTATTCATTTTCATTAATTAAATCATCAGTTTTGCTTGCTTTTGTTGAACAACTTGCTCTTGATTAATTAACATCTCCTTTTTGAATAGTTACACGAAGAGTTTTAATTAAATCTTAATCTTGATTATATCGAATTTTATATTCATTTAATAATGTTTTGAGACTCAAGATTTCATCTTTCAATTTTACAACTTATTCATTTTCATATTATTTCTTTTTATTTTATTATGTATCATTAGAAATAATTGGTTAATAATTAATTTGTTTTGGATTGACTTCTATTTCAGTTATTTAAAGTATTGATTAAATTTTTTATTATAATTTAGAGGGAATGCTTTCTTTTTATATTTTTTTCATTAATTCCTCTTTTTTTGATTGTTGAATCAATTCTTAAGTTTTTTATTATACAATTCTTTAAAATTCTTATTCTACTAATTTTTTCTCTTTTTCCTTTGATTTAATATAATTCTTAAAACCAGCTAACTTAATTTTTGTTCCCTCACTTATTTGACTATTATCATCTAACATTAAGACAGGAATTTCATAATCTAAATTAAAAACTTCATTTTATGTATTATTGTCTTTAATTTATGATGCAAGACTTTCATCTGGTGCTTCTTAAATATCTGATAGTTGATTATCAATATATTCATAATTATTGATATCTTCCCATCTAACATCTTAAAGTTTTTATTATTTCTATGATTATTCTTCTATTGAGAATTGTTATAAATTATTGAATTCTTTTTAGTTTTAATAAACTTCTATTTCATCTTCAAAATCATCTAATTCTGGTAAATCTTCGTCTAAGGATTCCCATATACTTTTAGGTTTTTAATTCATTAATAATTATAATTAATTTGAATAAGGGGGACTATTGTATTTTTAAAAAAATATTTTACAATTATAATGCTTGAAACAACATTAGAATGCTGAAAATTTATATAATTCTATTGAATATTTATTTGGTTCTTTCTTTTAATCAGATAGACATTCTAGCTAGTTTTAATCGATAATTTGAATTTCAATTTCAAATTAATTATAATAATCAAAAAAAAAAAAAAGATGTTGAGTTCTGGAAATCTAGATACAAAAATGATAGGAGACAAATTCATTTTACTTAAAAAAAAATAATTAGGAGCAGTAAATAATTAAACTAATAAATTAGGGAGCTTTTTCTTAAGTTTTTGAAGGATTTGTAAGAGGGAAGCCTGAAGAAAAAGTAGCCATAAAAGTTCTATAAAATCTACCTACAAATATACAAGATTAATTGTTTGAGAAACTTAGATTAATTTACTAGCGAGAACGTGAAATTCACAAAGTATTAGAAAGTGAACATGTTGTAAAGTATGAATTTAAAAATAATGAAATTTAGAATGATAGACGTACTTATTTGTGGTCAATCTACACACTTAATCTTAGAGTTATGTGAATAGGGAAACCTCCATACAATGTTGAGCAAAGAAAAGAATAAAAGATTAACATAGGAAAGTGCTTATAATATATTCTGTTAAATAGTATAAGGCTATAAAGCATTATATGATTTTAAAGTTCTACATAGAGATTTAAAACCACAAAATATTTTATTTACTAAAGGTATAGCCAAAATTGCTGATTTTGGTTTTGCTAAGTTAATTGAAGAAATGGATCTTGCTGTTGATTAAACTATTGTTGGCACTCTTTTATATTAAGCTCCAGAAATGATGGTTGGTTCAAAATATTCATCTAAAGTGGATATTTGGTCATTAGGAATAATCTTTTACGAAATGCTTTATGGAGTTTTACCTTTTATTGAAAATCATCCAACTAGATTATATAAGAAAATTACATCAGAGCCACTTAAATTTCCATAAGATGTTTAGGTAAATTAAATATACATTGATTTAATAATAAAAATGCTTAAAGTAGATCAAGAATAAAGAATAAGATGGGATGATTTATTTCTAATGATATCTAAAAATTCAGCAAATTAAATATTTGAACTTGAAAATTTAAGTGCTGCATCTACTTAGATGAGTTAAAGTGAATAATTTAGAGTTAATTATTAAAGAATAGAAGATAGATTAAATTAAATTGATGAAGTTAAAGACTTCTTTGATTATGTTTAGAAATTGATTACATTTTCTAATAATAATACAAATAGACTTTTTTTTTTGTTGTATTCACAACTATAATTAAGTCAAAATTTATATATATTGTTTATTGTCACATCAACAAAATACTTAATAAATGAGTATAATTATTATATATAAATTTTAACAAGCAGTGTAATTATTATTTATATTTATTAGATTCCTCCATCTGAAATTGGTTTTAAGGAGATGGACATCAAAACTTTTAAGAGTTGCGAGGAAAAATATTATTCTGTTTTAAACTAATTTAAGACAAATCATGATTAAATGAATAAATACTACAATGAAAAACTTTAGAAAGAATTTGATAAATTATTATAGATTACTTCAGATTAACCTAAATAATTAGTATAAACTAATGTATATTATTATAGGTTCAAACCGTTAATTAAATTGTATAATCGAATAGGAGAAGTAAAGTTTCATTAGATAATTTTAACAAAGTCTATTTCCATTGCATATAAGAAATTAGTAAGTCAATAAAAAAAAATCAAAATATTGATGATGCCACATTAAGATAAATTTACACGTTATAAATTTACTTGTTTTATTCACTTTATCCTTAGAAGTTTATTAAAAATGATTTTGAACCAAAACATTTAGAATAAGAATTAATTCAATCTTCAACTTAAAAATTACAAAATAAAGTTTTTGATCTAACCATGACATATTCAGCATTAATAAAATGAAAATTTATATTGATATTGTGTAACAATGTTAAAAATAATTGATAAATTTAATTATTAATTTTTATATGTTATTACCTGAGAGGGATTCCTATAATCACGATTATACTGTTAAATATTATCCAAGGGTTAGTAATATTCAATTCTACCATGATATGATGAAGAATGTATAAAATATCTTCAACAATATTCTAGAAAGGATTGCTGAATTATTATGTTTTTAAAGGAGAGTTTTTAAAAAATCATATGTAATTGCAAGAATATAGAGATTATGGTTTGATTGGTTCAGTAGTATTTTCTTTGGTTTCTATATATTTCTATAAACAACTTCCTTTGATTTCAAGAATCTAAGGAAAATGGTCATCATTTTTTATAAAATTAATGATATTTGGATTACCCTATGCTTCAGTGTATATATTGACTGATGAATTTAAAGAGAAATACATGTGGGATTAATATATCAAAAATTTTAAGCGTTACATTTATTACAAGTAAACTGGAGACATGAGATGTCTTAATATATAAATTTAATCTGAAGTTTGATTTTATCTAAATAATATATATATTATTTTTATTGTTAAAAAATGAAAAGCAAATTAATTCATAATAATAAAATCAATTATTAAATATCAATGGCTATCCTGAAATATTCTGGTAGAATAATAAATAGGGTGTTTCTTCAACTCTATAATGTAATTAATTAAAATATAAGTACATCAATTCTTCATCCAATTGTTTACTGTTGTATTCAAACGTAGAAATCATAGTATCATCAAAAGCAATCCAAGTATCAGGTTTATTTAATTATCTGGCATAACATATATAATGACCAGAATTACTATTTTTACCCTTTGATTTAATAATGATTAAATACTAAATGAACAATAAAGGCGTATAGATTGTAAACACTATCTTAACTACTAAGATGATTTTTTGGAAAGGCTTCTCGAAAGTCGATTTAAAATTGAAAAGGTACTTTGGTTAAGATTTTAGTCATAGTTTGACTACTTTAATCAAATGTAAAGCTTTGGTTATGAAATATATAAATACCGATGTATAGTCATAAATAATACAGAAGGTAATTAAAGTAATTGTTGTGATTTGTATGTTTTCTTTGTTTTTTCTCTACATCTTTCGCAAGTAAATTCAATTTATTCTTCTTCATAAGCTCTTTTGATCATACTTATAATATCATCCTTATTTGATTTGCTAAAATGTAGATCAATACCTAAGAATTTCTCTTTTTATCCATAAATGGGTTAAGATTTAACACAATTATAACATTTAATAATTTATCTTTAATATCCAAAGAATAGATTTCCAATAGTTGCTTTAAATTATTTATCAGGCATGACTTCAAATAGATCTTCTAAGAAATGATGAACAAATTCACCAACATCCTATTAATCATTAGTATTGCAATAAGGTTATCTTAAGACTCGTTTTAATTCATAAGGTGAACAGTAACCTTACTTTTGATATGTTAATTGTGTAAATAACTTTTTAAGACAACTCCATAATGATGTTTGAGGTGTAAGTTATAGAATAGAATTAGGAAATTGTATTTATAAAACTAATTTTCTAAAAGTTTCAGTCATATATAAACTCTAAAGAATACTATTCATAAAACATGTATTTGTAAGATTTTCTAATCCAACAAAATCATTAGAATCTCTTTATTCTATATATTAATTAATAGTTTTGTCAATTTTAATACTATTAAATTCCCATGGATAATATTTATTTAATTAAGGTAGTCTATTATAATCTGAAGATTTGTCTTTAAAAATCATATATATTTTAGTAAATTCATCTATTTAATGTAAGTAATTATAATGTTATTCAATGATTTACAGAAATTGAAATCTAGGTGTAATGAAATCTCTTGTAATAAATTTAAGAGAAGCATTTAATTTTAATCTAGATGCCATTAAATTGATGGATCGTTTAAATGGTTCTTAATCTATTGATGACATTCCAATGATAAAGTAGAGTAAAAGATCTAAGATATCTAATCCAAAAGATATCATTTACAAATTTCCCAAAATAGTAGTGAGTATAAATTCTTAATAAATTTGTTTTAAAATATCTAGATGATAACTACTATTTTATTCCTTCACTAAATTATAAAACATTTAACAAACAGTTTTAATAATAAATATAGCTTCTTCAGTTATGGAATGAGAAGCTAAGCCTTAGAATATTTTAATTGTATCTCCAGAATTCTTAAAATAATTATCTAACATATAATTTTTATGTCTGATCAACAACTCACTTAAATGATCTTGAGATATCTATAATTAGATATATTTATATATATACTTTTCTTAATAAGATATGTAACCCTAAAGTATTTCCTTCATATGCATGTTACACAATCCCACTTATAAGTACTAACCAATCATGCACTTAATTCTGATTGGTTTATCCTTATCCATTACATTACATAAGTAATACAGCTGCCAGGTTATCTAATAATTCAATATCTTTATGATTAGGTTGTTATAAACATTTGAATGGAATCAACATCAATGAAAATAACTCAGGATTAAAACTCAAATCTTTTGGACACAACCTTATGATCATCTATATCATTTATCTCTATATGTTAAGATCATTTGTATCCAAATACAACTTCTATAAAATATTTCCTTGCTGTCTGAATTCCATTATTAACTTCTCACTCTAAAATCCTAACTCCTTTTATATCACTCTCTATCCTTAAAGTCTCTCTACATACTACAAGTACATAGAAACCTAATCCAATTCTCTAATGCTTCCACTCACTTTCTTAAATAATTAGTAATCATTAAAAATGTTTCCGACATTCAATCTCAATGCCTAACTCAATAATTACAAAGAGTCTTCTCCTAAAGTGTGTATGTGTTTATATACTCCTTCAATCTCTTAATTGCTCAATTATTTCTAGTTCTATTCAAGCACTTTGAGTTTCTCCTTTACACTTGTAGCAGAAGCTATTATTTTATCCATCTAACCTTAATTCCTATTTTATTATATTTATACATTATATTTTATAAATATATATATTATTATCTAATTTTCTTATTATATATATTTTATATCATTAAGGAAGTTGTTCAATTTTCTATTCTTTTAGCTTCTCATCAAATCTATCCATTATCTCTGAAAATTCCTATATTTATTAAATCATTCTAGATACCTTAAAAAGACCTTTAAAAACATCAAATGCTGTATCTCTCTTATTCTACTGATTGTTTTCATTACGTTTTTAACATATTATTTTTGTTCTTAAGTAAATGTACCCCAAACCTTGTATAAATATTGAATAGATTTAGAAATACAGTGAGGCTACATAATATCCTATTATTGCAGCAATAAAACAAGTAAGATTGCTTTCATACATATCTTTGGACATATACTTGATACTCAGTATTGCCTTACAAACTATAGCACAAAGAAGTGCAATAAATATTTTTGTGATCAATAAAAATGAATCAACAGTATTTCCTATTTTGTTATTTCATTCAAATTACTTATTTATTCAAAGAGTTCAACAGTACTTGAATCTTCTTCTTAAAGTTCTAAGTAATCATCAATAAATTTTAAACACACATTTATAGTGACATTGTATTTTCTATTAATTGCCAATTCAATATAAATGACTTCTTCAATTTATCTGGTTTTGTTGTATATTGCAATGAAGGGTAAACAACAATATTTGGTAAGGAAAAGTCTAAATTTTGGATTTTTTCTTCTCACAGCCCAATCTTTAAAAGCATCACATAAAAATTTAACTGGAGATATTAGCAATAGAAATGAAGCCTAAGTAATCTTACCTATATTGTAGAAAGATTCTTGTAAAAAGAATCTAGTTAAAACAAGTGAGGATTTATCATGATTATATTAGAGATCTGAATTATTGTTTTTATTATGACCTACTTAAACCCATTATACTAAGGATGAGGATACCATATAATTATTCAATCCAAATATAATTTAGACTCCCCAAAAGAAAAAAAATATAATAAAGAATTGAAAATAATATAGAACACCTCCTTAGATTTTTTCAAAGGGTCCAATCTATTAGAAATCGATTACAAAGCAGGCTCTTAATGATCTATTTTAAATATATAAGTATATACAAAACTGTATAGATAGTTAAGAATAAAAAGAAATTTAAGACTATGATAGTTGGATAAGTGAATTCTTAAAGGTATTCATGATCAGCCATAAATTTTTCAACCTATTCAAATAAGTCTGATAGAATTTTAATTCGATCATAATTATGGTATAAAAAATAGGCTCCATAAAATGTCAGTATAATAAAAATGAGAGATAGAATGACTAATTTAGATGGATCAGGAACATTTGTCATTTTCAATATATATTCTTCATCAACTTAAAATGAAGATATTGAATTAGTTTCTAATGAGTTTGCAATAGCATCTCTAGCTTAAGATGCAAAAATAACTCCAAGACTTCCCACAAATACTAATAATCCAAAAGTTAAACCCCAAACACTATATTATGTATTGGCCTTCAATTAAGTAAGTAAAATTCTAGAGGATATACCAGCAAGGATTATAAAAATAATGAGCATCCATTTATTTTAGTAAACATCGTTAGTATTTGTTAATCTTGATGGAGGATTAGCTATTTCTTTGATTGCCTCATAATAAGCTAAGTTTCTCGGCATACAAATATTGCCTTTATAAAGAAAAGTATCATAAATTAGAAATTAAGAATCAGGATTATCAATGGAGAATATGGCTTAGCAATTTTTGACAATAGAGTTAGGTACACAATCTAATTATTTAGGCACTAAAAGGTTTGTATATAATAAATATACTTCCGTTCTTATGATCAGGTTTTGGACAGGATTTTACACAAACTTATTAATGAAGAGTAGAAGGAGTTGGATTACTAAAATAAATATAGGGATATTCTTTTGATCCAAAATCAGCACCACATGCAATACCTAAATTACATTTTATGTAAATTACCATCTGGATCAAATCCTTTAGTTAGCTTATCAGGTTAACCAAAGAGAATGCTTGTGAATGTTAATGAAATAAAAATCACCATGCTTGCATAAAAAGCGTATTTGAATACTGCAGTGAGATCAATCATCATTCAGTTATTAATAATTATATATAAATATTTATATATTTATTTATAGATTGTAATAATTCAATCTAGAGTTTAATTTATTAAATTCATGTATTCAAGTATTTCATAAGAAGTCTTAGTTCTTATACAAAACGTTATTTCAATATGATGCAAAGAACTCATCTTCAAATCTTATTTATACAGAATATAATTTCAATTTAATAATGCACTTAAATATTACAAGGAACTAATCTTTTTATTTGACAGGAAAATAATTAAAAATTAGATCTATTCTAAATATTATTTGCTATTTTAATAGATAAGATTTCTTGATTGTTAAAATTCCTAAAATACTATTTGATTCAATAAGAATTAACCATTGTGTGTTTTCTTAAATTTTTAATCACTCAATTAAATAATATTTTTAGTTTTTTCTCATTTAAGTCCAATTAAGAATTCTCTATCAATCTTCGTTTTCCATCAAAACAATTTACAAAGTTTAAATTAAATTTAGAAGCCACTTTTAAATAAATTCACTCTTTTTGTGAAATATTGGAAGATATCTAATTTTTCAGTAATAAGGATTCATATTTTAGTTAAATTATATTAATAATCTGAATCTTTAAACAATTTATGATTATGAAGAAATCACTGGATTTTTGCAACTGAGGTTAATTAAAGTTTCTTTATAAGTTATTTACTTTAGTCTCACATTATGTATATTTAAGATTCATTTGTTTCTTTATGACAACGAATCTAGAGAATCATTAAAAATATGCTAAGATTTCTAAAACTATAATTTTGATAAAGGATTAACAGCAGGAATTTCTGAAATAAAATTTTTTGCAATTTGTAATTATTTCAGAATTTCAATGAAAATGTTAAATTATGGATGAATAGATGAATGAAATTGGGTATGTAGATATTTAATATATAAGTTCATTTTTTTTTCTAAAACAAGGAGTTGTATTGTGTGTTAGTCATTGATTTATTGAAAACAGTAGTTTTAGATATATTGCCTTGTGATCCTTTTCTTGAGAATTATTATTGAGATAGAGTAGCCTACATGGCAGCTGTCAAATTACTCTATAATTTTTTATCTAAAGAAGATTTTCTTTAACCTTTGTTAATGGGACTATTAGAATCAACCATGGGGAACATCTATTATTATTTTTTATATGTGGGACTTTAATGTGTTGAGACCTAAAACTAAATATCTTCTTATGAGGTAGCTTTTCTGACCATAAACTACCCTTAAGAATAAGATTATGATTTTTGATGGAGAGCACGTCCTGGATGTTAAAATTCATTATCATTATTAATATTTTCTGGTTCTTTTTTAATAATAGAAGATTCCTTTTTAGTAGGAGATGTAGATTTATCAACGCTTAAATTAACACTACCATTATTGGAATTTCTAAAAATTAATGATTTATGTTCAATCCTCTTTTTTTAAACTATGTGATTATACAAAGTATTTTAATAATCTTTTATGGAATATTTATGATTATCATCCATAACAGTTTCAAGAGGAGTATCTAAAAGCATACTATCAACAATTAAATACCTCTTTTAGATTCCTCTTCAGTATTTTTAAATTCTTTAATATATCGATGTTCCAATGCTTATTCTACTGTCATTCTTTTAGCTGGGTTGTAAACCAATGTTTTTCTGAGATATATATTAATAAATATAATTTACTTTAAAAAATCAATAGCATCTTCTGATGCAGCCGAGAAATACTATCCAAAACTCTTTTTTTTTTGGGTAGTAATACTTTATAACACTTATTCTGCTAATGGAGCTTGTATTGCCTCTAAATCATCAGGTTTTGGTCTTCCACATAATTCAATTATCCTCTCTATTTAATTTAAAGTAGATGTCCCTGGAAATATGGCTTTTCCTACTATCATCTCTCCCACTATGCATCCCAAACTCCACATATCGACTGCTTTTGAATATAATTGAGATCCCAATAATATCTCAGGTGCTCTATACCATCTTGTTGCTACATATTCTGTCAATATTGGATTCGTGTTATCCTCTGGCTTAGCTACACTCCTGGCCAACCCAAAATCTGCTACCTTTACTTTACATTCTGAATTTATTAATAAATTTGAAGGCTTCAAATCTCTATGTATCACCTCTCCCGTATGTAAATATTTTAAACCCTTCAACACTTAATAAACGATATATTTCTTGTGAATTGGCTCCAAAATGTTTGCCCTTATCACCTATTCCTTAATCACATACTCATACCTTATGCAAATCTGTCTCCATATAATCAAATACCATATATAAATCCTTGTTATTCTCGGCCTTTATTACAGATGTCAATTTTATTATATTCTCATGGTTATTCAGTTGTTCCAAAAATATCACCTCTCTGAATGTTCTTTACGAATCAGTCGCATTGTGGAATGCATCAAAAATCTACATCCTATTAATTGCATTACTTTCTTTAAAGCCACTATTTATTTTGTTTTGCGATCTACTGCCTTCCATACTACTCCATAAGCTCCTTTCCCTTTAAATTCTAACAAATCAAATCTTTTTAGTATATGATCCTCCACTTAACATTATTCATCTTCCTTTGCCGACTATTTAGATTATGGTTACATATAAAATTATATTAATAATATATATTATCATTTCTAACATACAAAAATGCATTATATAATAAATTGTCAATAATTATTAATCCCAATTAAACAATAAAATTTATAAAGCCAAACATTCATCAATTACGCTTATTGTACCTTCTTTTCGGTTTAACTGTTTCATATCCATCAGAATCAACATCATCTTCTTCTTCTTCAACTTGCATCTACTATTGCTATGATTACACCAATTAAGGAGGTTCTTCATTTTCAGAATCGTTATCTGAATCTTAAATATTAGCCACATGTTTAACATTTTAGTTCTACTCATTATAAACTTTGATATCTTGAAGCAACTATAAATACTTTGTTTCTTTATCTTATTCCAAATCAGTAAATACATCTAACAGTCTTTACGCAATCTTATCATAATTAAATATATTACATAGTGATCTGAATTATCTTAAATTATCAATTATAAGTAGTCTTCCAAATAAACTGATAAAAACTATACTAAATCCTCTATTTCAGTCTCACAATTATAAATATATGCTGCTAACTAATAAGCCAATAACTTTTTGATATTTTCAGGACTCTCTTAGATTGTTTAGGTTTAATGTTCAAATGCAAGATTCAAAGCTACCCAACTATCAATAATTTATGTGCAAGCAGTTTTGAGACGTGTTCCAGTAAAATTATCAGGGACACTATATTTTTCTAATTCTTTTAACATATTTAAAATATTTTTATATTTTTCATTTAACATTTAACATTCTTTTTGTTTCTTTAATGAATGCACAATGAATTTTCAATTTAAAATATCTAATAATCATATTGACTTTCTACATTGAATATTTATGTAATATATATAAATAATAAATGCTTAAAGGTGTCAAAGTAAGAAAAGTATATGAAGATGAAATTGATGAACCTGCTAGAGAGAGTAGATTATTATTACGATCTATATTTAATAGAAAAGGTGAAAATACTGGAGAGTCAATTTCATAAACAAAAGATTAGAGAGAAAGGACAACAATTTGATGATATAGATGAAGATGAAGAAAAATCAGATCGTTAAAAAACTAAAGAGGAAAGGAATAAGGAAAATTAAAAGAAGGGTGAAATGCTGTTCTAACAAAGATAATTATAAAAGGCAATATCTGAATGTGAATTCTGTTTGAGCAATGAGAAATTAAGTTAATATTATATCTTAAGTCAGAGTAGTAATGTTATGCTTGTCTTGCCAAAATAAAGTATAAATTGTTATATAAAGGATTTTACAATTCTTACACACACTTATTAATAGTGCCGATGGAACATGCTTTAAGTATTAGAGATGTAGAAGATGATACGTATGAAGAAATAAGAAACTTTNTTCTTTTCGGTTTAACTGTTTCATATCCATCAGAATCAACATCATCTTCTTCTTCTTCAACTTGCATCTACTATTGCTATGATTACACCAATTAAGGAGGTTCTTCATTTTCAGAATCGTTATCTGAATCTTAAATATTAGCCACATGTTTAACATTTTAGTTCTACTCATTATAAACTTTGATATCTTGAAGCAACTATAAATACTTTGTTTCTTTATCTTATTCCAAATCAGTAAATACATCTAACAGTCTTTACGCAATCTTATCATAATTAAATATATTACATAGTGATCTGAATTATCTTAAATTATCAATTATAAGTAGTCTTCCAAATAAACTGATAAAAACTATACTAAATCCTCTATTTCAGTCTCACAATTATAAATATATGCTGCTAACTAATAAGCCAATAACTTTTTGATATTTTCAGGACTCTCTTAGATTGTTTAGGTTTAATGTTCAAATGCAAGATTCAAAGCTACCCAACTATCAATAATTTATGTGCAAGCAGTTTTGAGACGTGTTCCAGTAAAATTATCAGGGACACTATATTTTTCTAATTCTTTTAACATATTTAAAATATTTTTATATTTTTCATTTAACATTTAACATTCTTTTTGTTTCTTTAATGAATGCACAATGAATTTTCAATTTAAAATATCTAATAATCATATTGACTTTCTACATTGAATATTTATGTAATATATATAAATAATAAATGCTTAAAGGTGTCAAAGTAAGAAAAGTATATGAAGATGAAATTGATGAACCTGCTAGAGAGAGTAGATTATTATTACGATCTATATTTAATAGAAAAGGTGAAAATACTGGAGAGTCAATTTCATAAACAAAAGATTAGAGAGAAAGGACAACAATTTGATGATATAGATGAAGATGAAGAAAAATCAGATCGTTAAAAAACTAAAGAGGAAAGGAATAAGGAAAATTAAAAGAAGGGTGAAATGCTGTTCTAACAAAGATAATTATAAAAGGCAATATCTGAATGTGAATTCTGTTTGAGCAATGAGAAATTAAGTTAATATTATATCTTAAGTCAGAGTAGTAATGTTATGCTTGTCTTGCCAAAATAAAGTATAAATTGTTATATAAAGGATTTTACAATTCTTACACACACTTATTAATAGTGCCGATGGAACATGCTTTAAGTATTAGAGATGTAGAAGATGATACGTATGAAGAAATAAGAAACTTTTAGAAATGTTTAATTGGAGCATTTGATAAAGCAAATATGGAGTGTATCTTTTATGAGAATGCTTTTAAATTTAAATATGTTCCTCATGCTATTATTGAATGTGTTGCTATTCCTTATAAGATTAGTAAGGAGGCTAATATAAATTTATATTTTAAATAAGGAATGGATGAATTGGATGGATTTTGGTCAACTCATAAAAAGATAATTGAAATTCACAAGAATAAAGGAGGAATAAGAAAATAAATTCCTAAAGGATTTCCATATTTCTATGTAGATTTTAGTTTAAAATCTGGATATGCTCATGTGATAGAGAATGAAAATAATTTTTCATCGAATTTTGCTAGAGAAATATTAGCATCAATTCTGAGTGTTGAGAAATCAAATGTTTTAAGTCCAAAAGTAAGAACAGAATAAGAAGCTAAATAAGAGAATGATTAATTTTAATTAATTTGGAAATAATATGATTGGACATTGGCTTTAACAAGATAATGATTATTAATCTAACATTAAATATGTTTAATATTAAGATTACTTGTGATCTTATAAAATAATAATAAATATAATTAAATAATCATTATGAATTATTGTTTATAAAATAATTAAATAACGATACAATGAATTCTGAGATTGCTCGTTTAGAAGAATTAAAATAAGCAGAAATTCATATAATAGGTGTATGAATAGAAAGTAAGAATGTTGGATTGAAAAGTATAGATAAATAACTTAAATACAAAGTTGCAATTCTTGACAAAGGAAGTGAATAAGAAGGATTAAGAGATAATGCAATATAGTTAATATAATTAAGGAATAAATAAGATAAAGAATGAGTAAAGTTAAAAGGATTTAGAAGCTGAGAAGCAATATTAGAAGGAATATTTATAAGCATTATAATAAGAGAAGGATAAGGAAGTAATAAAGTGAAAAAATCAATATGCATAAGATTGTTAGAATTTATTAAGAAATAGAGATAAGATAATTGACAATTAAGTGGTGAGTTGCAATAACATAGATAAAAGTCTTTGAAGTATATGGACAATTAAAAAATTCTATATTTATCATAAATTCTAGATTTGTCTAGTGAATTTATAATTATTATTGTGATTATAAGTATGATAATATATCTGAATTATAAAAGATTTTCTTTGTATAAATTTAAATTGAAATTTAGTAAAAAATTCAGAAATAAATAATCAAAAATGAATAGAAGAAGATAATATTAGTAATTTAACAATTCTTATGAGAGAGTTTAAGAGATAAAAAAAAAGATTTAAAAGACTTAAATTCCTGAATATCTACCATACCCTTGGCCATCAACGTAAATAAATTATAATAAAGAGAAAGGTACATTTACAACATATTGTTGAACTTGAATTCTATGTAATCATCTCTAAATATACCTATGTATTTAAAGTTGGCAAAGACAAAGAAAACTAGAAATTGGTTTGATGATATTCCGATTTTGGTTGGTGTAGATGAAATAACATAATCAGAGTAAATATATTATATATTAGAATATGCGCAATATGTTTATAAGAGATAAATGACGAAAAATTAATAAATATTCTAAACTGTAATCATTATTTTCATAATGAATGCATAAAAGAATGGGTATTAATAAAAGCAGAATGTCCAACATGTAGGGATATAATTCATTAATGATGATATATATCTAACTTAGTATTTTAAATATCATCAGCAACATTTTTTAATTTTATCTGTAGTCAATATTTTTAGAAATAATAGTATTTCTAATATTTCTAGCAAGTGAATCAAAAACTTCATTTAAATTAATTCCCATTTTAGCTGAAGTCTCAAAAATATAAGATTATATTTATTGGCTAATACTTATCCTTAATCTTTAGATATTTATCTCTTGTCATCAAGATCTGATTTATTACCAACTAAAAAGATTGTAACTAAATTTGTATCAAGTTATCTTTTATTAACTTTGATTAACTTAAGTTTTACTTCTAACCAATCTTCCACATGTTCAAAAAAAGTCCTTCTTGATGTAATATCATACACCAAAATAGATCCTTATGCTCCTTTAAATGTATNACAATGAATTCTGAGATTGCTCGTTTAGAAGAATTAAAATAAGCAGAAATTCATATAATAGGTGTATGAATAGAAAGTAAGAATGTTGGATTGAAAAGTATAGATAAATAACTTAAATACAAAGTTGCAATTCTTGACAAAGGAAGTGAATAAGAAGGATTAAGAGATAATGCAATATAGTTAATATAATTAAGGAATAAATAAGATAAAGAATGAGTAAAGTTAAAAGGATTTAGAAGCTGAGAAGCAATATTAGAAGGAATATTTATAAGCATTATAATAAGAGAAGGATAAGGAAGTAATAAAGTGAAAAAATCAATATGCATAAGATTGTTAGAATTTATTAAGAAATAGAGATAAGATAATTGACAATTAAGTGGTGAGTTGCAATAACATAGATAAAAGTCTTTGAAGTATATGGACAATTAAAAAATTCTATATTTATCATAAATTCTAGATTTGTCTAGTGAATTTATAATTATTATTGTGATTATAAGTATGATAATATATCTGAATTATAAAAGATTTTCTTTGTATAAATTTAAATTGAAATTTAGTAAAAAATTCAGAAATAAATAATCAAAAATGAATAGAAGAAGATAATATTAGTAATTTAACAATTCTTATGAGAGAGTTTAAGAGATAAAAAAAAAGATTTAAAAGACTTAAATTCCTGAATATCTACCATACCCTTGGCCATCAACGTAAATAAATTATAATAAAGAGAAAGGTACATTTACAACATATTGTTGAACTTGAATTCTATGTAATCATCTCTAAATATACCTATGTATTTAAAGTTGGCAAAGACAAAGAAAACTAGAAATTGGTTTGATGATATTCCGATTTTGGTTGGTGTAGATGAAATAACATAATCAGAGTAAATATATTATATATTAGAATATGCGCAATATGTTTATAAGAGATAAATGACGAAAAATTAATAAATATTCTAAACTGTAATCATTATTTTCATAATGAATGCATAAAAGAATGGGTATTAATAAAAGCAGAATGTCCAACATGTAGGGATATAATTCATTAATGATGATATATATCTAACTTAGTATTTTAAATATCATCAGCAACATTTTTTAATTTTATCTGTAGTCAATATTTTTAGAAATAATAGTATTTCTAATATTTCTAGCAAGTGAATCAAAAACTTCATTTAAATTAATTCCCATTTTAGCTGAAGTCTCAAAAATATAAGATTATATTTATTGGCTAATACTTATCCTTAATCTTTAGATATTTATCTCTTGTCATCAAGATCTGATTTATTACCAACTAAAAAGATTGTAACTAAATTTGTATCAAGTTATCTTTTATTAACTTTGATTAACTTAAGTTTTACTTCTAACCAATCTTCCACATGTTCAAAAAAAGTCCTTCTTGATGTAATATCATACACCAAAATAGATCCTTATGCTCCTTTAAATGTATTTTTTAGTTATAGATTTAAATCGTTCTTAATCACCAGTCTCACATATCATAATTTTTATTCTTTCTTCTTCATTTATTTGAATTAATTTTACTCTGCAATCTACTCCAATTGTTGTAAGAGACTCTACATTAAACTTTTTATCACAGTATTGAGTAGTAATATTTGTTTTTACTACTGTTGTATCTCCAATTATTACAACTTTAACCAACATATCTATTTTTTCCATGATATAAATATATAATTATATGATTATCTAAATTTATTAATTTTGTTTTCAATCCATGATTGGTTTTGTATTTGGTTAAATGGGTAAGAACCAAATTAAAGGATTGACACCAAACACTTCTGTAAAATTGTCTACAATACTATTCTAAATCAATTCTTTTGGTTTATTCTCACAATATTCAAGGGTTGTGATGTTTTTTTTGATCGCCCTATTTATCTCATTATAATGCATTACAGTACCATAAATGAAATATTGTGAAAGCAGTTAAAAGAATCCACAAGAAACAGCAAAACAAAAAAGTAAAAGATACTAAAAACAGTTTGCCATCAGATGCATATGAATTTAATGTGTCATAGTAGCATCTACTGTAAGTAATCATTATAAAACTTAAAAGTAACCCTAAATTAAATTAATTTTCATACAGGAATACCCAAGTAAATTGATGAATAGTTTATAATTGTTATAACCTATACAATTATTAAGCCATTAACAATGATGATCCATTTTTAACCAACACGTCTTACAATAACGACAATGATGACAACGTTTGGGTTTCAAAGTTTAACAATTCTTACAGTAACGACGACCAGTCCTTTATATTAATTCTAATCTTGCTTTGTTATTTAATTTTTAGCGTTGTTCATCATCTATTTCTGAACAAAATGAAGTGGATGTTTAAGACCCTTTTTTATTAAAATGTATCATTTTCTCTTCATTCTCTATCATTTTATTTATTTCACCTTCCTTTTTATTTAACCATTCCTAAGGCACCTTCCCTGGTTCTATTACCACTACTCTTATTAATGAAATTATATAAAGAATAAGAATTGTATGCAATGATATTGTTATTACCAATGTCTAATTGCTGAAGACATAGTCATTTATGTGTACTAATTGAATCAAATAAGTATTTAATTCTACTATTGGTCTTTAAATATATTCTGATCTTATTAAAGGCAATAAGTATGTCTTTCATATTATTCACAATTGTTACCTTCATATACACTCCATACAGGAATACAAATATTGAGATTAATATTACAAAGGGCAACCAAATTCCTATGTAACAATGCAATTCGCCTTGCTTATAATATTTCATTTTATTTTATTTATAATTTAAAAACGTATTTATGACTAGACAACCATCAATCTACCATCTATACATTAATTAATTCATTATTTTATTATTTTTTATATATTATTAATTAATGAATTAAGGAGACAGACCTATGTTGTAGAAATAACAATAAGAAATCTTAGAAATCTTCAATGAATTCAAATCTATAGAAACTAATCAATTGAATGTTAGTGAGTTCTTAGAAATTCTATAAACTACAGGACTTGATAGGAATTGTGAATTATTAGTCAAAAAAATGGAAAATCTTAGAGGCCAATAATTAGACATACATCAATTTACAGAATAATTTAATTTTAACTATAATCTCTATGAAAATTTTGAAATGATATTCTAAATCATGGACACTACAAATTCTGGAAAGATTAGCAAAGATGAATTAAAAAAATAAAGTGATTTTTGGGGTATAATATATCCATTTACATTACCTTAGGATTGCAATTATCTGAGAGAGATATTGAAATTATGATCAATTATAGTGGAAGTGATGAATAAGATTCAGTTTCTAAAGAAAAATTATGGAGTTTGTTATAACAATATTAAAACAATAAAATGCTATAATGATATTTTAATATTATATTATTTATGTAAATTAGAGGGACTATCATTATATTGGATAAGTATTAAATATAATTATATTTAATATGGATAGAAAGGATAATTCTTAAATAGCATGTTTTAAATGATAATTATATAAGAAAGCTTAAAAAATTTCAGTCAAATTAGAAGTTTTTTTTTGAGAATTGAATTTTTGGAATATGAAATTTGAAATTAATAAAATAATTGTGATTATTTAGTTTTATAATTTTATATTAAATTAGTATTGGTATTGTTGTATCTGTTGGTTGAATGAAAATAAACTTAAAGATAAATAAATTTGTTTATTTTTATGGGGAGGATGGTTGATGTTCAGATTTTGATGTGAATAATTGATAAATTTAAATATAAAGAAGTATTTGTGTGATTTAAGTTAGATATGACTAAAAAACTATATTAATTATTTGGAATAGTAAAAATAAATTGAATTGTCAGAGTTCTTCAAAACTAGAGTTTACATCCTTAATAGTTGACTTTTGATGGGTATATTAATTATTTTCACAGTAGAGTTCATCTGGATAGGTGGAAATATCCAAATTCAATATTTATGATTATTATTATTAAATGTAATTTTTGTTTAGGGAGTCTTAGAATTCTTTAATTTTAATAAGTTATTATTCTTTTTTAATTCCTGAATATCTCCAATGTTAAAGTTGAACAAAAGAGAAGAAATTAATTTGCTGATGAACTTAAATATCATAGATCAATTCAATCAAGTCTTAGAAATTCTAAAGATAGAAGAGTAAACCAAGTGAACAATCAATATCTGTATCATTCATAAATAGAGCTTCTGAAGGGAAACATGATTTAACATATTCATCTGGATTCATTTTAGTTTCTTAGACTAAATGTGGATCTAAGACAACAAATTAATTATCAACAAATCCGACAATGAAATTAGCTTTTTTAGGTTTACCTCCTAACATTCCAGCAAAATAGCTTTTCTTCATAAATTATTGTATAGCTTTAATATAATCAGGATTAGGTTCATCACATCCAATTCTACTTAATAAACAGATAGCAACAGCTCTAGAAGGAATAAAACATTTTTCACAAATGTATTTCTTAAATAGATTTGCAATATCTATCTTGTATTTTTCAGAATGACCTTCTAAACATTCATCTTTAATTGAATCTTTACCATGTATAACTTGAACTACTTCTTCCTTAGTGATTTATAGTTTATCTAATTCTTTTAAAAATTATTCGATTGAAAACACTCTCTTTAGACAGGTACAATTATCTATCATACACATTTCTTATACTATAGCTCTAAGGTCTATTTAACTTTCATAGAAAGGTACAAAACCAATGCCATAACAATCTTTTACTCTTAAATTATAAAAATTACATGGAATATTATTTTCTGATAGAATTTTGTAAATCGCCTAAACAATTTGATTTGGACTATACCATTCTCCAGGTTTCTTACCCCATTCCTTAAAGGCTATCCTCATTATCTTTTAAATAGAGAATCCATGCTTAGCCTTAATAATTATTCCTTTTTAACTTTCCTTTTCATCATCATCATTAAATTATTACAATACATCTTCTAATAGATTAGGAACTTAAAATAGATCCACTTTATAGAAATGTTTCAAATGTCTCTTTAAGAGTTCTGCCATCATCATTTATCCTACTCTAATTACACAACCCCATCCAGAATCACTTGTTAAATTACTATCCTGACATTGATATGCTTAAAATCCTTATCTATAAGTAAATCGAATCGTATGAATCACTGAATTCAAAATGTCTTCATTTCTCTTTATCTCTTATCCCATTATGTAACCTTCTTCCTTTATTTCATATTAAAATAAGGCTCTAAAATTGTAATTTGCACAATACCTATGATGATACAATTATTTCTTTACCATGTCGATAAGATCTGGTGTTGTATTGATTACATGTTATTAATATATATATAAAAATATTAAATTTTCACTCATTCCTTTAAGATAAACACCAAACATTTTACTATCTAAATTGCATCACACATTCCTGTTACTTTAATTACAACTTCCATATTCTATCTTATTATTATTTTTATCCAATGTCTCACTCTAGTATCTTACAAAGTAAATTCTCCTCCTAATTTTAAATCTTTCAATTTCTCCCTTGTATCATCTAAAAACTCTTTCAAATCAACCAAATAACATAAATTTGGAATATATTTTTTAAAATCTAATACACTCTTTATAATTTTCTAATTTAATTTAAACTTCTCTGATCGATTACAAAATTCTTTCTTCTCTCTCCAAATGTACTTAAAATACTTTCTCCCTATTGGTAAAAAATTCATGAATTGACTCAATAAACATGGCACTATAAACATTGCTTCATATAATTTATCATTTTCTATCCATTAAAATTAACCTCTTATTTATTATTTTTACCTCTTAATGGCTCAAATAAACTATATTTATAAGCTATCAAGCATGAAATCTTGCTTTGTTTTCGACCTAAGATCTAACTATCCATCTTATTTTATGGCAACCATAATTACAATCCTTTTGGTTCTTCAAATAACAATTAGCAATTCTCTAATATCTACTACCGTTTATTTCCTATATAAAAAGTTAATTCTAAAAAGTTGCAATTCAATTCCTCCTTTATGATAACTTTCTTTATTACTCCCAACTATATTTCAGAAGAATCAAATAGCTTTTACTTACTTTTTATACTACATAATTTTAATTTTTTTAATTGTTTTTAATCTTCCCAAATTATGTTCAAATGTTCTTAAACCAATTAACCTGTATAATTCTTTTCTGGCAATTATATCCTCTTAAATTTTTCTAATTCAAATTCAATTTTCTATCTTAATATTTTGTCAGCCTCAACAAAAGGATTTTTTTGAGGTTAAGAAACAACATTTGATCGTACACTTTAAAGTGCACTTTAAGCTGTTCTCTCAGAAGGTTGATTCTCTATCACTAAAATTGGAATTGATTTTTTTTGTAATTAATTCTATTATACTAATTCCACTTTCTACTCCTCGATAGTCAATTTAATATTTAAGGATTTTTATATCCATTCTCTAAATTTATCGAAATGCTTAAACTTATCATTTTATTGCTGTTTAACTTATTTTATAAATTGTTCTTCAAATTATTAAATGCTTTGTAATTATTCCATTTAATCACTAGTCAAAATTCTCTATTTATTTTTCAGTAAATCTTCTATTGTCTTAATCTTTTCTGCAAAACTAGATTTGAAACTATCAAACACTATAAACTTATTAATACTGAATTATTACTGCAGATATGTTTTTCTTCAATAATAGAAATTGATTAGACTATATTGATTAGTCCTTCAATGTCTAATTTATGATCATCAACTATATTTTAATATAACTGTAAAGTTTGAAGTTCTCTTTTTTGAGGATTTCTCTACAATTCAAATAGTTATGAAGCTTATTGATAATTATTTGGCAAATCTATTCCTTAGTTCATAAGTATATCAATGGCTTCTCTATATTTATCAATTTAAGCCACAGTTCCAAAATACTTTACACACTCTAAACATATTTAATTTAGGGAATTTTATTCATCTTTACAAGTTCTGATTATGAAATCATAAAGCATTTCATCTTTAGTTAAAGCTTTTTTGATTTTATCTTATTGGATAAGGTGAATTAATAACTAAGAATGAGATTTAGAATTTTACTAAAAGTGAGTTAATTTTGAGTTGTAATTTGTAATCGGAAGTCAAACATTTTAGTGCATTTTTAATGTGGTGATGATCAGAATGTGCATCAAGTATATTTTATATACTCTAAATAGTGTGTAAAAATGAGTCCATTATTAATTAATTATGCAACAACTTTTTGATTGTCCAATATGTTTATAAACATTGTTACAACCTATTACTTTAACATGTGGCCATACTTTTTGTAAACCATGTGTTCGTAATAAATACTTCTATCAGAATTATAATTCATGTCCTGTATGCAGAGCACCAATTTAGATATACTTGAATCAGTTTAAGGTTAATATCCTTTTGGAGACACTTATCAAATAAGAATTCCATAGTGAATAAAATTATTAGTTAAGAGTTTAAAATTACTAAAAGCGTATGGATTAAAGAAATAGAAGAAAATGGTATCATACTATGATGCTAATAATATTCGAATATTCTAAATAGATATGGAGAGTAATCTAAAAGATGTTGCCTCTCTATCTTATAGGTATATTTTTCAGTTAAAATAGCATAGTACTGGTAATTTTAATGTATATGAGTGTGAAATCTAATTTAAGGTTTGAAAAATTGTAAAAGCAATTTTCAAAACGTGTTAAACTTGAAAAATTGAGTGAAGAGATTGCTAAAATGGTATCTTTACTCAAAACTGATAACTAAGATGCTAAAGATTTAGATATTCAAAATTTGGTTTTCTCCAAAATAGTCAAATACTTATTTACAAATTGTGTGAGATTTTGAAATATCTAATGTATTTCATTATAATTATATTCATTTAATCAATATTCTTTTATTTTAATCTTCTATACCTTATTGAAAAAAGCATTTATAAATTTTTCTATCTTAAGTCATTTATACCCATCCATCCAATTTACCTTATATAAAATTTCCTTAATAAATTACACCTTCTTTCTTCAAAGTCCCTTAACCATGTTCTTTGCCTTATTTAAAATATCCTATAGATTAATGATAATAATATGTAATACCTACATAATAATCTTCTAAAGATCGAATATACACTCCTTTTCCATCCAATAAACCATCCTTAAATTGACCTTCTTGTATCTATCGATTCTCTTTTTCCATCAATGAACCTTAACCACATATAATATCTTCTACAAAATTCCCTTCATATTTAATTTTTTTATTTTCATATATACCTTCATATATACCTTCATATATACCTATTCCATGTTTACGACTATTTCTAAATCCTCCAAAGTATTTTTCAGTATTACTAAGATACTCTCCTTTTTCATCATTAAGTTCTCCTTAGATAAATTTTCCTGAAAATATTCTTTAATCTGAAAATACTAGAACTCCATTCTAAAATTTATCATCCTAGGTTTCACCTTCAAACAAATAGTTTTCTGTAATAATTAATCCTTAAACAAATATTCCATCTTTCCAATATCCATAAAAGAATTTTTTTTCTCTATCATTATATTCTTATCCTCTCCCATTTTACTTATTATTATACCATTATCCTTAATACATACGATTAAGTCCAACGTATTTTACTTCTTAGAATTTAGCTTCATTTTTTTCTAATGTGGGATTAAATTAAATTGCTTTTAATTTAGCTCGAATGAATGATGGTATCTCCATTAATCTCAAATGTTCTGGAATTATATCAAATGGATATTCAATTTTTTCAATCAACATTTTTAGTTATAATTAGTGAATACATTATTCCAATTAAAAAATTCTCTTCTCCATTTTTTTATTATTATATTTTTTTATCTTAACTCTTATTTCTAATTTCTCTCTATTCTTACATAATTTCTTATATTTTAAACAGAATATTTTAGGAGCAATTTTAGATAATAATATTTTCAATAATTTATTGCAAGTTGTTTACTCATGAATATTTAATAATTTAATATATAAATTAATTCATGGAGGAACCAAAAATTGAATTAGATGATTTAGAAGTTAATTAAGAAAGATTAAAATAAAACACAATTCAACTTAAAAACCTTAGAGTATATGGATCATTGAATGCTGGTATTATAGCTGGCATATTGGGAATGGGTATATAATGATTAATAATACTTAGATGGATGGATTGGAATTGGAATTTATGTTGCAATATTCTTAATTGTAAGTGCTTGCTTAGCAATTAAAATGAATTTCAAAGTTAAAGAATACTTCAAATCTAGCTATGATGCATATTATTCTGGAATTGGAACAGATTTGTTATTATTCCTAATGATTTGGGTTATTTTCCATAATCTAGTCAATATATTATGAAAGTCAGCAAAATTATATTAACCAAATATATCAAATTCAGGATTCACTGATTATTTCCTCTTCTTTTTTTCTAATTTAAAACAATTTAAATTATTCAATTAGAGATTAATTATTTCTTTATCTATGATTTATATAATTTCATAAGTGATTCTAGAATTACTTTGTTTTCAAAATAATTATTATTCAAAATTATAGTCAATTCATAATTCAATTCTCAGCAGAATTATATAATTCAATTAACTTTTTAAATTGATTATATAATACTATACTGCTCTTTAACAAATTATTTTTAAATATTAAATATTAACCTAAACAAAGATGAAGGAAGTTTAAAAATATCAAGCAACTGCTTTTAAGCACTTATAGAAGTTTATTAAAATGAAATTTCTAATTTTTCAAAAATTATGCGAAAAAAATATCAATCTTTCTTTTAAGAAAAGATCCCATTTCAAAATCTTTGAAGATTGCACTCAATTAAATTGATGTTTTAGTTGCTTTAAAATTAAAATTAATTTATAAAAAGCCCTAATATCACTTGAAGATTCAATATAATGAGAAAAATATATAAAATTTTATCTGAGAATATTTCTTGATGATAGATAGAATTATTTGACAAATATAAACACTATGTATCAATGAATTTAACATAATTCAAAAATTATTATTCTACTTTATCCATAATTCAAAAAAAATATTATATATTGCAATATTTAACATTTAAACAAAAAAAATAAACTAATAAATACTTTAAAATCACGAAAAACAAATATCAATATATTTAATGTAAATAATCTAAATAAAAAATGCGTTTGTGATAAATTTTACAAATTAAAAACTTAATTTTAACATGTATATTAAATGAGAAATCAATTACATTTTCAAATTTTATTTCCCAATAAGTCTAGATGATGTCATCATCTCCTCTCTAATCGAGAATTTATTATAAAATTATCAAAAACTATTATGAAGTTTAAAATCATACTATTAAAACTCTAAGAGCAGAAAAATAAAAAGATAACTACTCATATTTAATGAAGTTTTAAAATCAAATAACTTAGTTTGAAAATCATTTCTTAGAAGATAGAATATTTGATTTGAGTTATTAAAAGCCTAATAGAAAGTCTATAAAAAAGATATAAACCACTTAGAGGGAAAACCTTTCATTGAAATTTATTAATAAGATTATTAAATAAAAATGGAAAATTACAGCCTTATATTCCAAATAGCAATCTTTATTTTATAATTAAACTTATTTAATTTAATCTATGTTTGAAACTTTTTTTTAAATAATGTAAATTTTAGAATGCAGTTTTATGGAATAAAAAATATTTATTAGGGTTAGATTATTTACTATAATGGTGAATCAAATAGATTTTACTAAAAGAAAAATTTTTTTATAAAATAATATCAAATAGAATAAAGAATTTTTTTGTTGGGATATAATGTTGTAATTTATCATTTTTATTTAATAATTTCATTAATAAATCTCAATGAAAGGCTTGCCTTCTAAGTGGTTTTTTATTTTTAAAAGCTTAATAATAGGGTTTAAATGATTATATTATTTAGGATTTTTTTTCTGCGTTTGACTTTAAAATATCAAAAAATAATTGATTGGATTCAAAATATTCATTGGCACTTCTTCGAATATCAGGTTAATTAATTAGAGCATTAATATCTTAATTTGATTTTGGAAATTTTAAGATTTTGAAGGTTGGAAATTTTTATTTGTGATTTTCAAGAATTAACTTGCCAAATAATTTCGGATGATTCTTAGTTGGATTTTCATAATTTTTATTAATTTCTTAATATAAAGCTGAAAATAATACGGGTGGGGTAGTTTGTGGTGATTTTACAAGGTTTTTTTTTTTATATATTTTTGAAGTTGAAACTTAACTACTGTTACTTAATGATTTAGATGAAATAATAAGAGAGTTTTATTGTTATATTTGAAGATTTTAAAATTGTATAAAGTTACTAATAGATTCTTGAACATCAAAATCCTTATTTAAAGAATAAAAATCGTCTTAGAAGCCATCTTCATTATTATTATTATCATCTATCATTGAATGAAGCTAGTTATGATTAATTAGGGTGTTCTTGCTTACTTTAGTATATTTGATGTTCATTTAATCAAAAATATTTATTAGTTTAAATATCAAAAATATTGCAATTATTTATAGAGTTCTTTTTATTTTGATTTTCATAATTATTTTTTTATAAATAGTGTATCAATTTCTAATTTCTTTTTGAAGTTTTTTACTCTCTCGATATGAGAATAAGCAATTTAGTATTATCTATACCTTTTTTGATAAAAGTATCTTTTTTTGTCTATCTGATATACTCTCTTTATATAATTAAATTTTGAAATTAATATGAATTACATATAATTATTATAAACAATAATAATTAAATGAAATAAATTTTTATTGATTAAAAGACAAAGTTAATTTATCACATAAAATAAATTTTCATAAAATATATGTTTAACAAGATTTGAGAAGAATAGATTTAATAAAATACATAAAGACTATTATTATATTTCTTATAAATTTTCCTTGGAAAAAAAGAGTGAAAAATTAAAATAATAGCTTTTGACTTGATTTTTGACTTGGAATAGAAAATAAAGATAATAAATAATTGAAATTCCCTTTTTTCTTATGAAATAATTTGAATAAAACTTTTATATATTAAATTGAATTTAATAATTGATGAATTAGCTTTATCTCAATGATCTTCATGCTAGTCATGTTTAGGTTCATTCTCCTAGTGGAGAATAGCGATTGTTATTTTAAGATGCTTTAGGTTAAATAAAATTAAGACAGGTTAATATATAAACAAGATTGAAGGAAGTTTTGATTTAAGCAATATAGAAATTAAGAAAGTATACAAAAATTAAGAATCTGTCTCTTCTTAGTAAATAATAATTGCAAGCCTTTAATGATGTTTCAAGTAGTTATATTTAGTAATAGAAGAAGGGGAAAGATTCATCATAATTTGAAAAATAGTACTATTAATACAAACAGCAGAATGTTAGTTTGTAATTTTTAGTATCTAGTTTAATGACAATGGTAAAACATCGTAGTTTAAATAGTATAAAAGCAAGTCATCCTGTATTAATTTTTTGGAGTTTCTTAAAATTTCTTTTAGTTTTACATTTGTGTTTTATATTTCCATTGTCAGATTCATTTATATTCTAATTGGATGAATTTATATAAATTTAGATGCCTATATTTTTTGTTGAGATTGTTATATTAACAATAGATATAATAATGAGATTGAATGTATAGATTTATAATAAAGGAATATTGATAACATAGACAAGAAATATAATAATATAATATTTTCGTAAGGAATTCTTAATAGATTTTGGAGGATTGTTAGGATTAATAGTTTTTTTGCTTTATAGTTTTACTCCTTTAAAATATTTATTTATATTAAAATTAAAAGAGTTATCAACATTTATGGAAGTGTTTAAATATGAGATAGATCCAAAAGGGAAATTTAAAAATCATTTGAAATTATTAAAATTGTTGATTACAGTAGTATTGTTAGCACATTGTTTTGCATGTGTATGGATAGGAATAGGATAACATTCAATGGATTAAAATTGGATAGAATAACGAGGTTTATAGGATTCTCATTGGATTTAGATATATTTATTTGGTTTATATTTTGCAATTACAACAATGACAACAGTAGGTTATGGTGATATAACACCAATAAATTCTTATGAAGTATTAGTAAGTATATGTTTGACCTTATTTTCTTCATGTATATTTGCATATGTATTTAATACGATAACTTCAATTTTGAAAGATTTGGATGCAGATAAAAGTAAAGTGAAACATGACTTAGAGATATTAAGTCATTATATGAAAAAGAGAAATATTGATTCTGATCTTTAAAAGAGAGTTGAGAAGTAATAATAGAATACATTTTATTTTAGTTATCTTCGATTAGTATATAAACATTAGCCATCTACATAAGAGAAGAAGATATTTGGTAAATTGAGTCCATAATTAAAGTAGGAGTTAAATGAATAAGATAAAGGATTATTATTATTGAAATAGCCAGTGCTTGTGAATAATTTCTCATTAAAATTATTAAGAGAGTTAATTGAAAGTGTATAAGAGATTAATTTAACTCCATAAGAAAAATTATCATATGATTCTGGGTTATATATTTTATTAAAGGGAAATATTAATATTATTTTTGGAGAAGGTAAAAGTATTGTAGGAAATTTAAAACCTGGAGATGGTATAGGATTAAAGTCTTTGTTTAATGAATAATAGTAGAATAAGAAATTGATTTTAATAAGTGAAGGATTTTCAACTATTTATTTTATTTCTTAAAGTGATTTTTTTAAAAAACTTAAAGATACTGATTTGGATTAATTTTATTAGATTAGAGATAGAGTTATGATTTAAAATTATGATAATTTATTTTTGAAATGTTTACTTTGCAGAAAATAAGGACATGAGATTTGTGAAGATATCTATTTTAATTTAAATAAAGAATTAATTTTAGCCAAATATTAATACTCAGCAGATTAAGATAGATAGAAATCATTTATAAGAAAAAGGAAAGAAAAGAGCAAAGCATTTTATGAATTAGAATTTAGAAGAAGAAGTGCAAATTTATGTTATTAAAGAACTATTAAGACTATGAAAATGTAAGAGAAGGAAAGTGATGAAGAAGATGATAATTCATAGAATGAAGAAAGTGATGTATGAATTATATTATAAGCAAGAGTCTTATGATGATTTAGAATAATCTAGACATTATTTAGATGAAAATAAAGATTCTATCTCTGTATTCTTTGATAAATAAGCTACTCCAAAATAATAAAATAATAAACCAGAATTTAAAAGTATGAGAACTAAAATTAAAGGATCTTCAATTGTTAGAATGCTTTAAAATTATACTTAATAAAAAGTATAATATTAAGATTTTTGTATCATTAATGATTTTGAAAAAATGAAATTTTATAGAATGTATTATCCAACTTTTAATTATGATTCAGCCATTAAAACTTATAATCAATGGAGAAAAAAGACAAGTAAAACGCTTTATAAAATGTAGTATAATTGAATTTGGAATGATTGATATTCTTTTATTCAAATCCATAACTATGTTTATTTTTATTAAAATATATTTTATAATAATTATAACAACACTCTAGGAAAATCGAAATATTTATTAAATTCAATCATATTTATATTTTATAAGTTAAGAGTCATTGCATGAATAAATATTTATTAACATTTAAAAACCCTTAGATTGAAGCAAAATATTAATCAACGAGTATTGGTGAAATTAGAATGACTATGTTTACACTCATAACTTTAGGTTTTATAGTTGTATTTATTGTAAGAATAGGGTAGGGTCTACTTTAATAAAATTACTTAAATGTATATACTTATATTGCTATGATTACCTATTTTTTTGTATAATACCTCTTAAGTAAAAAGTATAAGTAGCTTTTAAGACCTTCATTAATATTATTGAATCATGCTTTTACAATTTATTTTTTATTTGTGGAAGAATCATCTGATTCATTGTCTGGACATCTTAGAGGAGTAAATTAGATGGGATCTAACTTTTTAATTATACTTGCAGGAGAGTATATTGATGCAATGTTTTCTCTCATTTCTATTTCCATCATCAGAATTATTATTATTTTTAACAAAACTTCTAGCATTGAGTATTCTGCTATATTCTCTGCTTTCATACTAATACTTTATGCTTCTAAATATTTATATCAATATCATAAAGCAATAAGATCATAATATTTATTAACTTTAGTTGATTAATCATGGGAAAATATACTGACCTAAATAAGCAAGAAGATTCCATATATTTTAATCACTTTTGATGAAGTCTAATTAAAATTCTAAATAGCTAAAATATTAAATTGTGAAACATTATTTTCAACTCATGAAGATGCACTCAAGTTTTTAAGAGAAGCTAAATATAATGAATAAACTATCGAATTAGTTATTTATAATGAAATTAAGGATTTCAAATAAAATTCTGTTGATGTTTTTAATAAAAATATCACTATTTCACATTAAAAGCTATTAATCAAAATTGAATACTCAGTTTACTTTAGTAATAAACCAACAATTCTTTTAATATTTCCTGAAATCTCAAATAATACTAGAGAAAATAATTTAATTATGTAATCTAGATATGAACAATTACTTAATATATTAATTAAATTATTTTAAGTCATTTAAAATTAATAATCTAAATCTAAAACTGATATTTTAGGAAAAGCATAAAAAGCATAAAAAAAATTAGTCATAATCAAATTAATTTAAGATTTAAATAAGCAATAAATCAAAGCAAAAATTGTTAATCTCAGAACAATTTTTAAAAATTTAATTTTATTGTACAAATGCAAAAAACTAATATTTTCTAATTAATTTTAGATCAAAATCAAAACTTGTCCATCAATATTTAGTTTTTTTTTAATTACAATAATGGAAGCTCTTTCTTCGAATGAATTACATATATCATGCTCTATTAAATCGGAATAATTAATAGAATTCAATTTCTTAGGATGGTTTTAAGAATAAGAATTAATTTCGACTTAAAAAGCATTAGCTTATGAATATAGTTTAATAATGAAAAATTTACAGATTTCCTAAAACAGTAATATAGTATATAATAATAATATAGATGTAAGTTTTTAGTTGTATTAACAGGCCTATGTTCCATTTAAAATACAATCTTACTCAACTACTGAAGTATGATAAATACTTAATTGTTTATTTAATATTACATAAAATATAAATATATATATAAGATTAATATAAAATAATTATTACAAAAGTATGTTTCAGCATAAACGACCAAATTAAATAGCTCCAAGTGGATTTGAATAAACATCTTTAATAGATTGAAAAGGAAGAATCATTAATCCAAATGCAATAACTCCTAGAAGTACTTGGATTAAAATAGATTCTCTTTTATATTTTTTCACTATTTTTTTAAGAAATCCTGCAACTAAATAACTTCCAAAACTAGAAACTAACTAAAATATAATGATATTATTCTTACTCCTAAAATAATGAATTCAGACAGTTAATAACCTCCTGAAAGAGCAATAATAAATACTGAGATAGAAGATGTGAATAAAACTGTAAAAGTAGCTGAAGCAGCTGCTCTAGGAGGATTAATTCCAGTTTCTAACCAAAGTGGAGTTAATACTACACCTCCTCCTAATCCAACTAATCCACCTAAAAATCCAGCATAAAGACTAGATTTTACTGTGACATCAAATACAGAGCTCATTTTACCATCTGCAAAATCATATCCTATAGATTATTTGTATTCTTCATCTTTTGATATAAATTTTCTATATCTTTAAACATTATAATATGCTATTCCAAAGATAGCAAAATTAAACAAATGATACCCTATACTACAATAATCAATCCCAAGAATTGATGGTACTGCTCCTGATCCTTTTAACAATGTTACAACAATAACAATTATAATAGTCAAACTAATTTCTGTAAGTGGTTCAATTGGATAGAGTCTTGCATCCTTTTCCTTCATAATATTCAATTCTTTTGAATGATTACTCTCTTTTTAAATTTATAATTCCTTTAGTTCAACTGGTATGAGTTATTCATTGATTTCTTTACTACGAGTTTTGTAGTATAAACTCTTTGTTTTCAAAAAGACTGTCAATAAAATACCAAACAAAAAGATCACAATGATTAATTTTGGTAACCATTTACCTGTAGCTACTCCTAAAATGGCTCCAGCTAATAACAATGGTAATGTTATTTAAACCAATTAATAATTTATCAATGGAGCACTTCCATTAGGAGTCTATAGTATATTAAATATAATTTATACTCTTTCTTTTCCCAATCTTAAGAAATTGCCAAGACTTCCTCCTAAAAGCATAATATAAGTATTCCATATTGCTTTTTTACTTGGACATCCTAATAAAACCATCATTACTGGAGATATGATTGGACCACCACCAATACCACCAGCTTATGATAAACCTACTAAGATGCCTAAAATACTATATGAGACCCAAGTGAATGGATCTGCTAATGAGGGTAATTAATAATCCATGAATAATTAAAATTGGAATATGTGTTAAGATTTTTAAACTAAAAATACACACTCTATAATATCCAATTTTAATTAAGTTTATTAATTGTGAAAATAGTACATCATTAAAATTAATTAATTATTCAATAGATAACACCTTCAAGTAGGTTTTATTTCAACACTTTCCATAAAGGTTTTAACCTATTTTAAAGCTTCTTTATAATTATTTTAATTTTCTTCCATCTATTACACTATTCCTCTTAATCTATACACCTCTTCAATTAAAACTTTCTTATGTCCAACAAGTTTCTCTTTATCTTCCAATAACACTATTCTATCCTATTCCATTTAAATTATCTATTCAAAAATTATTAATATTAATTACTATTTTATTGTATTTAGAATTCAATTCTGCTAAATTTTCTTTAACATCCTATCTTTACAATTCTGAAATCGATAGTTGATTTTATAAAATATTGATCTTAGATTGAAGTTTTAAATTCACTGATTTTTCATATTTGAGAGTAGCTTAAGCATCATCTAGCATGTCTTATAATTATTTTATAGTTGCATATGAATCTTATAATTTACTAGTCAAGAAATCTTTAACAGCTTTTAATACTTCTAATTAAGCAAGAGCATCTTCTTCTGTTTCAAACATACTATTATTGGTAGATAAATTTCCACATGTTATGATATCAATTTTTTCATGTTTTAGTTGTATTTATTAATGTTTCGGTCCACCAACCAAATGATTAGCATTTCTACTAAGCATCAATAATTTGAATCCTAATGGACAAAACATATTTTTTCTTAGAGTAGAACAAGTTGCTGTAAATCTATATAAATCATTATCATCTAAAAATCCACACACTCTTTAAATTAAAATGACCTGAATAAAATTTCATTCAATACTTTAGGTAATTTTAAAAGAAAAGTAACTTCATTTCTTTTAACTAAATCTTCTCTATGTTTTTAACTAATTTCTAATTCATCTAATTATGCAATAATTTTATCGAGTTTATCCATTGAATATTATTATATTATATATTAGAATGATATATATCATAATAAACAACAACGAGGAATTGTCCTTTGCAGTTCACAAGAGTTCAGAATGTTCAAAATTATTGAGAATTCTATTTTGAAATATAGCAAATTCAAGATAATACTTATTTTGTACTACATTATTCTAGTTCAAACAAAGTATTTGAACCTTTTTTCAAAAATCAAGAATTCAATTTAATGCAGCAGATTATAATTTTATATATATAAAGGGTTCTTACCTTCTAATAAACTCTCTTATTTTTTTATTCAAATTATATTCACATCCTACTTTATCATAAATAATAATAATACAGAATGTTTATAGTAATTATTAAAGAACATTATTTGAAGATGGTTCTTTAAACGAATTACCACTGTTCATATAGATTTCTCTTTGAAAAGCGACAAAATCTTTTTTTATGAAATTCCATGTGATCATTTTAGTTCTTGAGTTTATTATTATCTCTTTTTAAGAGTTAAGAAAATTATATAAAACATATTGCAATTTTCAATTTATCTAGTATGATATATTGGTTATTTATAAATTAGTTGTAATTTAATATTTAATAAACTTATTTTATGATTTGATTGTAATTTTAACAAAAGGTATTACAATTAAGGTAGAAATATTATGATAGAACTTAAATGCCATATAATATGTTTATAATATAGATTTCATTATAGCACAAGTGATGGTTCCAATAAAATTGAATATTAAATAAGGAAAACATTATATATAATAATAATAATATTTTAGGTTAGGACTTTACATTATGATATTGAATTAAGAGAAATATCTGTATCAAGTAACGGATCATTTGTTTATGATGATGAAACAATAGATAATAATTTAAATTTCAAATGACTCTCAACCTTAAATATATATAATGCATTTGAAAGAAGCTAGTATAAGTGATGAATGTTGAATAAAATTTATTTTTTCTAAAACAATAATTTTCAAATATCTTTTATATTTATGTTAATAATTAAATTACATAAGATATTTAAGAAATTTATTATTTGTATATAATATTATAAAAAAATGATTTGATCTCAATCAAGGTACTCAATTTTCACTAGTTCTCGAAAATGTTTATAATTTATAACTCCTAAAGCTTTGAGAGCATTCTCATGGATATCAATTCTAGGTTTTTCAGGACCTTCACGACCTCTATCTCCTTTTTTAGCTATTATTCTAAGCTTATTTTATAGGGTAGATCTCCAAGAGCACTGAAATCATTTGGCTTAGTAAAAGGATCTTTTGATAATTCAGCATAATAGAAATCACCATCATTTAGATTAGTACTACGATAACCTTTTGAATCATTTAAACCAGATGCTAAGACTGTTTCTCTTTTCACCATCTTTTTCTATTAATTACTATTTTCCCTGACATTATCTTTTTTTATTTATTATTATTTTATAAATGATTTAATGTATTAATAGGGGATAGTAAATCATCTTAAGTCAGAAAAATAATAAGAATTTTTTAATTTGGGAGAAGCACGAAAATAGTTATTATGGTTAAATTAGTAGAAAAAATGATAAACTATTAAAATAGGTTAAAAAATATAATTAGATATGATTGTAATCTTCATGTAATACCAAGAATACAAGATTCCAAATATTTATTATATTTATAAAAAAAATTCTATTTAGAACCTATTCTATAAAGTATAGAATGATTTTTTATTAGATGGTCAATTAAATTTTATAAATTAACTTCTTAGAAGTCTTTAATCACTAAGTATAAATTAAATATATTAAAATATGATCTCTGTTTAATCTTATATATTCATAATATTTTCAATAATTATAAAAAATTATTATTTATACTATTTTTTGAATATAATAAATAATAATATAATTCTACCTATTAATATACGTATCTGATTTTATTAATAAAAATAATGTTAAATTATTAAGATTAAATATTTCTATCACTTTTAAAACTTGGAACTAAAATGGATTCTATAATGATTATAAAACGTTTTGGTTTTGGTCTCCTTGATTAACAGAACTTCATATAAATGATTAAGGTAGTTAATGATTAAATTCCTCAAGAAGAGGTTCAAAATTTTTATTTATCAACTCTCATGTAGTATGAAGCATCAGCTATTTCAACTTATATTTTAAATGATTTGCTTCGACAAGCCAGTTAAATATTGGCTAAATAGAATATTAATCAAAGAGATCCAAATCAAATTTTACATTTAATTTCTAAATCTCTTCAAGTAAAGAATTAAGAAATTGAGAAAGTTTTTAGAATTTTTGATTTGGATAAGGATAATTTTCTGAATGAAAATGAGTTTAAGACTTTCCTAGAATTCTATGTCCCAACTCTATCCCCTAATGAATATATCAAATTGAAAAATACATTAAATACTTAAAAAGTGACTATTTACAATCTAATGAGCTGGATGTAAGAAAGTAATTCTATGAGAAACAGTATAAAATCAAGAAGATAGCCATAACAAAATCAATAAAACTTATAAATATATAAAGAAAAGAGACAAATGACTCCAAACATTCGAAAGAAATAAAATGAAACAACACCAACTAAAATACTTCCATAACCTTATAAACCCTAATAACACTAAAATAAATATGGAATACCTAAAGCACAAATACTAAAAGGTGATCAGTAGTAATAATTGATAAAATAATAATAATAATAATCTATAAGATTATAATTATAGTAATAAGAATAAGAACAAGAATAATAAATAAGATTATAATTATAATAATAGTAATAAAAATAATAATAATAATAATAATAATAATAATAATAATAATAATAATAATAGTAAAAAGAATAATAGTAATAAGAATAATCAATAAAATTATAACTATAATAATAACAATAAATAAAATAATTAATAAAACCTCCTCAGAATGATTTGAGTAAGAAGAAAATGAATCCTATTTTAGAATCTATATTATATGAAGATCCACAGTAAGCAAATATTTTGAAATCTGAAATAAAATTCTAGGATTATATAGTTTTAGACTATAATATACCAGGAGTTTAGGATTATATTTAGAAGTTTAATGATTAATTGAAATAGAGACAAATTTTTACTGATAATGAATTTCCTCCAAATGCAAATAGTTTAGGTTAAAAATTAACATAATTTTAATGGAAGAGATTGAAAGATATTTGGCCTACATATGAAGTTTTTGTGAAAGATGTAACTGAATCTCGGTATGGTTTGGGAAAATGGATAAGTCCAAAAAATATATGTTAAGGACAATTAGGAGATTGTTATTTTTTATCAGTAATAAGTTCAATGGCATGTAGATGGTAATAGAAATATACAATTACAATAGGCCTGACTATTTACTAGACTTATTTTTAACTTAAACAAAAAATCCTTATGGTATGTATTCAATAAGACTTTGTATTGATGGTATTTGGAAAGCTATTATTCTTGATGATTTTATACCTACCAAAGATAATTAACCAGCATTTTCGTATAGTCCAACATAAGAGATCTGGGTTTTATTGATGGAAAAAGCTTGGGCCAAATCTTTTGGATCTTATTCAAATATTATATCTGGTGATTCATAAGAAGTAATTCGTAGTTTAACTGGAGGTCCTTCATGGAGTTTAAGGACTAATTAGCCAGATTTTAAGGAATAATTTTTTGGGAATGTATAAAGAAAATGTTTAATGACAACAGGTTCATTTTCTAAAATAAATATGTCAGAAATTATGGGTTTAATAGCTGATCATGCATATTCTATCTTAAAAATTAGAACAATTTAACATCCATAAAAAGGACAGGTAACATTGATTAAATTGAGAAATCCATGGGGTAAAAAAGAATGGAGAGGAGAATGGTCTGATGATAGTCCATCATGGACTAAAGAAATCAAATAATAATTAAGAGTCTCTGAAAAAGCTGACGATGGAATCTTTTATATGTCTTATGAAGATTTTATTAATTATTTTAATACAATCTATGTGGGATATTTCTAAAAAGATTATCTATATAATTCTTAAACTATTGTAAGTAAATCTCATAAATCTATTTATTTCATTTTCAACATAGATTAAGTAGGTTAATATTACTTTACTACTCATTAAAAATCAGTGAGACATTTTAAAGAGAAATATTCAAATTATGAATATTCTTCTGTAAGAATGATACTTGCTTCTTAGACTAATTAAGGTTATATATGGAAATATGCAAAGTAAGAGAGGGATCAATAAGTATATATAGGCGAAACATTTGATAAAGGTCAGTACATTTTACAAGTTAAAGTAAAATGGTAATTTTGGGAAGAAGAAAAGTTTGTTATTAGCACTTATGGACCAAAAGTAATTAAATTAAAGTAGATCTAAAAAGATAAAACATTTATGAACCAAGTTCTTTTCAATTTAGCTAAGTAGAACACTTAAAAAGAAGATATTAAATATCCAAATCTATAAATAACGACAGAGTTATCACTTAAATACGGGTATTCAATTAAATTTATCTTAGAGTTGGTTATGAATATTATAAAAACATCGGAAATGATGTGATTTAACTTAAAAGCACATATTCTAAAATGATTGGTTTAAAATTAAGAAAGCCAGAAAGAGGAAATCAATATTAAATTACATTATTGCCCAATTCAGAACATCTGATTGCATATACTATTAGAGCATAAGGATATGAAACATAATAATCTAGGTCATATGTAATAATATCAAAATGAAAGAGTAATATATAATATATATATATAATTTAATTTTAAAAAAACTAACTAGATTGATTAAGAAAATAGTTATATTCTATACGATCTCTAAAATTCTACTATTTAATTTTTTAATTCAATATGATTAGTATCAAATGTTATTTCGTAAGGTTTTAATACAATACTTAAAATGAAAAATAAGTGTTTTAGCTATCATTAAAAAAGCAAATACTTTTTTATTGTAACATTGATATAATTATCTTCTATATTATTTGTATTAAATACTTTTTAAATTACGATTAAGCCTTTTTTACAAAACTAACTATAAATTATTGGTCTAAAACATAGAATTACTTTAATTGAAAGTATTTTTATATAACAAGTCTATTGAGAAAGGAGACTATAATGAATCAACAAGTAAATTAATAGATTTTGTAAATGCCTTAATTATAAATGGGTTTATAAAATTAAAATTGGATTGAATCATCAATTATACTCCTTAGAATAACATTACTAAAGTAAAAAGTAATGTTTAATTCTGTTTGTAGTATTAAGAAATAAGGATGATATTTTAGAGATAGATGGATAGTTTAAAGTTTTGAAATCTTATGTTGTATTTAGTAAAGTAAACTAAAGGAAAGTAAAGATTATGAAAAAAATAAATGTATTTGTTATTACAATCTCTCATCAATAATATAAATATGAACTTTGGTTTTAGATTCAAATAAAGTAAACCCATTAAATTTCCAAAAACTGAGGTAATTATAATTCATATTCTAAAAGAATTAATTACTAATACAAATTGGTTAATGTAGATAAAAGATATCTGAATTTAATTGGCAAGATTGTAATAAAGGAGATGTAAATGCATGTCTTTAACTTGAAAATTTACTCACTCAATACATTCTTTTCTTAGACTAGGTGATTGAAGAACAACCTAAAATCGATATATCATTCTAATGGAATGATTCTTATGAACCTGTAATCAGATAGAATATTTTAGAATAAATTTACTCAATCCAAATAATGGCATTATGAATACTCCTGTTCTATGTATAATCTTGGTCTACTTTACTATCATTTGGGATAAAATATAACAAACCTCAAAGATGCTATTAATAAAAATCGAAATTCTTAATGGTGTTTTTAAAGACTGTCTGAAGTGATTGTCTTTGTCAATTCAAAAACTGTTCATTAACATTCAGATCTTTCTTATGTTCATATTCATATGCATAATTGTTATGTAATCATATTACTCTTACCATTAGGCCAATGCATTTGGATATAGGAAATTATATGAGCATTTTTAAAATAATAAGAATCCTGATGAATAATTGGAAGCTTTAGGATTATTGTAAGAGGCATCTAAATTATATGAATAAACAATTAGATGTTTAATGTAAACCAAATAATGTAATAAGAAACCTATTCCACCAATCATTTATAATTAATTACTTGAATAATTTTCATCTGATTATGTCATCTCTTAAGTTATTTCTAATTTAGAATTAGCCAAATTTATGGCATCTACTGCCAAAGAAGTTCCTAAAGAATAAAGGATGGGAAAAGCATTAACATATTTAAATAAAGCTGAACAATCTATTTCAGAATTCTTTAAGAATTTTAAAGAAAAAAAGGAATTTTTATAAATAAAATTATCATAGGTTTAAGCACTTAAAAAAGAGTATCTATATCTTAATGAAAATGCATATAAACATCCATTGGCTAAAGAATATGAATTATTATAATTGCCTGTAAAATAAGATCTCATTAAACCTAAAGCACCTGATGTATTCAATATAGAAAATAAAAAATAATTATAAGAATAATTTTTAATAGAAAGTTAATAATTAATCTAATAAATTAATTCTAGTAAGACTAAGGCTTAATAAAAATTAATAGATTTACAAAATAATTTTAATTCTATTTATAGATAATACAACATTCAATTTATGGTTGATTCTTTTTAAAATGCTGAATCTTTAAAATTAACTCCATCAATATAATAAAAGGTACAGTTCATAAAGGATAGAGGAGGATGGAAGGGATGTCAAAATTAAATTTAAAGGATCCATTCATTATAATAGGATTAAGGAAAGAGATTAATAAACATAAAAAATCAATTAGATTTATAATCAATGTAACGTGGACCTCCGAATCAAGGACATTGGTTATTATCACAATAGATAGAAAATTTTAGAAAAATGGTTGAAGGTAATAAATGAAATTATTAATGAATAGATATATAAAAAAAGCTTTTAGAAGCTAGTTTAATTAATAGAACAACAGATGAATAGATAAAGAGTATTAAAGATCAATTATTGTTTATTGAATAAAATAGTGATTAAATGTTAGTCAGTAAAATGTAGACATCTTTATAGGAATCTTAAAACTTTTATAGGAAGAATATTTAAACATTAAAAAGGTTATCTATTATTGTTGAGAGTATAATGAATAAGATAGATTTAATAAAGATCTAATTAGCAAATTTAGAAAAATATATTGATGATTTTGGCTTTGGTTAGAGTGCAAACTAGGCAATTAATTAAAATACTCTATTGTAAGCAGCGAAGATAATTTAAATTAGGATGACAGAATATGATGCTATTGTATAAATATTATTAATTTAGTTTAATTCAATCAATCTAAGTGAACTTGAAAAGATTGCATCAGATTTAGAAGATAAATAATTATTCCTAGTGATAGCTAATTAGGGAGAATAAGATTTTGAAAATCAACTGAAGATGATTTAAGATGCATTTTACAACTTAGAGTATGCTCAATAATTTTATGAGTATGCTTCATAATCTTTAATTTTAGTTCCATTTCATAGTAGGTATCTTAATTGGCTAACTTAATTAACGAACTCACAAATAATAGTGATTGAATTATAATAAAATAAATATAAATTAAATGTGATTTAATTATTTATTAAATTTATAATTTATCATTCATTCAATTTAACTCTGTTGATATGTATTTCATCTTCTGCTTTTATTACTATTATATTCTTCTCATCATATTTATTCCCTATTATCTTGATATTTAAAATTTATGCTTCCTATTATTTTATCTTATGTGGGTATTCATAATTAGATATTAAGATATTCATATGAATTGCGAAGGTAATTAATTCTATTTCAAATAATTACTAATTTAGGGAAACTAAATTACATTTATAATATGTTGCTTCTCTTCTAAAAAGTTTCATCTTCTCTTTCTTCATCTTACCAATCAGAAAAGGTTCTTTTCTATTATCGACCACCATTAATTATTAGAGTTTAATTTTTATTAATAATTATAATCATCACTTTTTACAATAATTCTCACTACTTAGCTCATCACACGTTATTCTCAATTCATAAATATTATCACTTTTATAGTTAGATCAATGTAATGAATATCAAGAATTTTATTAATTTATAGTCATTCCTTATTCAAATTCTACTCTGAATTAGTAGTAAAATCCAATGTCTGGAGATTTACACACACTATATACAAGAAACTGAATATTTTAAATATATTTCTTTCTTGTCTAATTATTTTATCTATTACAATATATTCTTAAAAGACAAAGATAAAGTATCAAGATTAGAGATACAAGCCTTATTTGCAATCATTATATTCATTTATTTGATAATGACCAATTTGATGATCAAGTTCTGTTTTTCAGTCCATACCATATCCAAAATTTAGTATGTAATCGTAATGTTCTTCAGCTAAAGGATAAGGACAGTAACGAATTTTTGCTTTACAAATACTTGTATTACATTAAAATTTTTTGTGTATTTATTAATGTTATGAATGTTATGAATATTAACATTTTGAATTAAATTAAAAAGATTTTAATTTTTTCTTTAAACAAACATGGTAAGAATAGTGATTACTATTATGTATAGGCAAGAGGACCCAAGAAACATATGAAAAGAATCACAGCACCAAAGAGTTGGATGTTGTCAAAATTAGGAGGAAATTGGACAACAAGACCATCATAAGGACCCCATAAATTGAGAGAATCAATTCCATTGTCTGTATTATTGCAACATAAATTGAAATACGCATTGTATGCAAGAGAAGTCTAAATGATTCTTGCTGATAAGGATGGTAATATAAAAGTTGATGGAAAAGTAAGATCTGACTTTGGATATCCAGTTGGTTTATAGGGTAATATAATATATAATTAATGAATCAGATGTAATTACAATAGATAAGACAAGAGAGAATTATAGAGTTTTGTATGATGTGTCAGGAAAATTCATATTAAAATCAATAAAACCAGAAGAGGCAAAATTCAAGTTAGTGAAAGTAACATAAAAGAAAGTAGGACCAAACAATGTTCCATACATTGTAACAAATGATGCAAGAACAATCAGATATCCAAATCCTGAGATTCATGTTAACGACACATTAAAAATAGATTTAGAAAGTGGAAAAGTTGTTGATTTCTTAAAGGAAGAACCAGGTATATATGATGTATATGCTTAAATTAGGAAATTTATGTTACATTATTGGAGGTAATAACATTGGAAGAGTGGGTCTCATTCAACATAGAGAAAGACATCTTGGATCTTTTGACATTGTTCATGTTAAAGTAAGAGATTGATTAAATATGTTTAGGATTCAAATGGTAAACATTTCTCTACAAGAATTAACAATATCTTTACAATTGGTAAAGGAAAGAAGTCTTTAATTTCACTACCAGATGATAATGGGTTGTATTTGACTGCTCTTGAAAAGAAATAAGCCAGAGAACACCAAGAAGAAACAAAATAATAGTGATAATTCTAAAGTATAGTACATGTTTACATCAAATATTAAATAATGTAAATCATTAAATTACACAACACACTGCTCTTTTTTGTTTTTAACTACTCTCTACTTGCAGTTTTTCAAATTAGAATAAATCGAATTAGAATAGATCATAAACTCTTTGTTGTTTTGTAACTCTATCTCTAAATGAGACTTATTGCTCTCGTCTCTTTTTATCAATGATATTTCCGAACCTATCATAACGAACTTTTAGAGGAACTTTTAGATGTGCATCATTTAAAAACCTAATTGATTTACTGCTATTATAAGACAGTCCATCATCTGGACTAGATGGTATTTGTTGTATTAATATTTCAGATTAAGGTTTTGGAGCAACTAATCCTTGTTTCATATTTAATTAAATAAAAAATCACATATCAAAGACATCAATGTATTATGATGTGATTATGATCACACTTATTATTATATATTTATAATGCACTATATTATAATATTACAAAATGATTATACATGTATTTAAATATTTAATCCATTAATATTAGATTGATTTATATATATATTTATTTATTATTGTACATCGTTTGATAATGCAAATCATCTCTTTTATGCCTTAGTTGCAGCAATTTCGTTTCTTCTTCTTACAGCATTTGCTCTATTTAAATTGACTAATTTTCTAAGAGCAGCTTTCTACAATCCAAGTCTTCTTGTTCCAAATCTCTTTCTAATTACCTAGAATTCATAAGACAAGATACTCTTGATGCTGTATGAATACCATGTTTAACACTTAAAGTTGAAGCATAAACAGATTGGGTATTTTTGTTCTTTCTGTCAGCTTATTAGAATTTTGTACTCTTTCTTGTAACTAAATTTACATTATTAATTTAGTTAGTCTTTGCTTATGTTGGTACTACACCAATAGCATTATTTGTAATGAATCCTTTTTAATTTTTATAGCTTTATTACCTGTACTGCTATATGTTTATACACCTGTGTTATTGAATGGATCAGTTGACAATCTCAATCCATTTCTCTTTACCAAAAAAGCATTGTTACCCTTAACTACTTCCCAAAGCACTTATTAAGACATTAATTTAAAATAGATATTAATTTTTTTTTTAAAAATTTAAGTAATTCATTAATGTTAACCATCACTACTAAATATGTTCTTAGCATGTGCCATTGCATTTTCAGGATGTAATGCATCTTTGCATTCTTTCTCTGCCAAAATGCATATTACTATTGTACCCAACTAAACATTATTTATTTCATTTCTACTTTTAGGATAAAGTTGATAACGGACAACACCAATACAAATGTTTAAATTCCATCAGCCCAATTATGACTAAAAGTTGATGAATTCCAAAATGGACCCCAATAAACAAGCCAAACGAAATCAATAATCCATGAATAAACAAATAGATAAATTAATCTAATCTTTTGTGATACCTAGATTCACATGAATGATTGACTTACAGGTCTGTCAATATCCCAAAGCAAATATGCAAACGCAAATAGTGGTAAATTATAGTCTGGTCTTGCATAACAGGTGAAGCAAGATATAAATGCAATAGCAAGAAACAATTTCTTAGGCCACTCTTACATTTCAAAAATTATATAAATAATTATTCATTATCAATAATTTGTTAAGAGTATAAAAATAAATAATTAATATAATCTATTATTTATAAAGACATATAGAAAACTAACATCACAACTGACAGTATATAATTATATATTAGTCTATAAAATAACAACACTTTTATAGTATATTAGGGTGGGTATATGTACAATATTTAGTAAGATTAGATTCACTTTCACATTAAGATTTAGTAGTAAAAAAATCAAATAAATCTCCTGCGAATACTATAATGTTTAAATTATAAAAGCACAGTAACTTAAAATTTTCATAGATTATGGATTAACATAGGAAAAAAAAGAACTTATGGAGATTACAAATATTAGAATTTAATAAACTGGAAATATTTTGAAAGTATTTGATATACATGATACAATTCAGAAGATGATTTTTATTAGTCTGAATGGTATCAAACATTAAAAGGTTGTTTTAAAACTAATAACTAGAAAAAATATACTATGAAAGGAAATGCAATAAAGGAGAAGGAGTTTATAAAGTCTTAATAATTATAATACTTAAAATAAAAAAATTATGAATCCTTCTTTAAAATAAGATCATTTTATTTGATCATTATTGATTTTTGAATTTTGGTGAAAATCTTGATCCTTTGATCAAGATTTAAATGAACTAATTTTTTATTTAAATAAAAGCACATTCATAAACATTTATGTCTGGTCTACAAATTATGATTAAATTTAAATCAACAATTTTGAATATTTTAATTAAAACAAATAATTATTTTTAGTTTCAAATATATTTTTAATATGATTTAATAATTTTATATGGTCTTTAATCTTAGTTAATTATAAATTTGATAAACTTTAATTTTTTTGGCTATTGGATTTGATTACATTTAACTTTATAACTCAAAAATCAAATATAAATAATATTTTATCCTTATATTTTTCATTTGCCTCTCCTGATTAAGACTATATTTTCGAAATCTATAATATTTCTTTTAGGATTTTATAATTGCATTTATAATAAACTTTTTTCTTTGTAGGGTTTAGCTTTAATTCTAACAAATTTTTTTAATCATTTAAGAGAAAAAAGCAAAATTATAGTTCATTTTGACTTCTGAGATTTATTACTTTTTTTTCTTCGCTTGTTTTAGTTTAATCTCTTTAATTATTATTTAATACTGTTTTTTTTAATGCTTCTATCCCATAATTAATACAAATTTTTTGACCTTGTTGGAAAATCTAAACAAAAATTTTTATTTATTAAATTGATTTTGATTTATTTTTATAAGCATTTTTGCCTTAATAATCCTTTAATCGCTTACTTGACTACTTAATATTCCAAACTTTTGCTCTCCATCATTTTTTTTACAAAAAAGCTAATTTTATTAAATCTGTTAATTTATCCATTAATTTAGAGGATATATCTACTATCATTCATACAAACTTTTATGATTTCTATATCTCATATTCTTAACTTTTTCATTCTAAACTAATTAAATTTAAGCAAAAAGAATTAAAAATTATCTATTATAAACTTGTAAAAAATTTAATTTGCAATTTTATTTCCTAACTATTAAATGCTTATACATAAAAATTTAGTTATAAAATTATTTCCATTAAATAAAAAGAATAAAAATAAATAATATTACTTTTTTTTTAATATCGAAATAAATTTACTATGAAAGAACCAAGATCTTATACCGAGAAAAATAAAAGAGTTTAAATTGAATTTAATACCATTTAAGTCTTTTTAAACTTAATTTTGCTTCTCTATTTACATTATTTTACCAGATAAGAAAAATGTTAAAATTATGACTATGAATAATTCATAGAAAGTTTAATTACTAATTAGACATTTAAGAATATATTCATTAAATAAATTAATGATATTTAAGAATCGTTTTGTTTAATTTAATTTGAGAATAATATTGAACAAATAAAATTATTATTGAATAATTTAAAAAAGTCAGAAAGTTTTGCTAATGACGAACATTAAAACAATAATTAAATTAATATTCCATATAATGATAAATTAATCAATTAGAATAATGAAAACCATTAATTTAAATAAATTAAAAATAATACAGATAAGAATGCATAATAGGAGAATCTTTTTAATAGTAAACTTAATTAACCTTTAGATCTAAATTTAAATAATAAAGATTAATAAACAATATAAAATAAATAAAAAATTAAGGAAATAGAAACATATGAAGAAAATCAAGCAAAAATAAATTAATCAACTGATTAAAAAAAATAAAGTTAATCTATAATTGGTATTGATTTAGGTATGAAATATTCAAGTGTTTGTATATATAGAAATGGTTAAGTTGAAATAATAAAAAATGAATATGGATCAATAAGAACACCTTCAATTGTTGCAATATCAAATGATGAGTTTTTAGTTGGAGAAGATGCTAAAAATTAAGCTATTTTAAATCCATAAAACACATTTTAAAATGTTAAGAGAATAGTTGGAAAAAGGTAAATAATATAATTTATATAAAAATAGATATTCAGATCCTATGGTGCAATTACAAATGAAAAATGTTTCATACGAAATTGTTAATAATACTAATAAACCTTATATTTAAGTTTCTGAATATTAAGGATAGAGTCCAAAGTAATTTAGTCCTGAATACATTCAAGCAAAAATTGTATCAAAATTGAAGAAAATAGCAGAAGATTATTTGGGATTTGAAGTTAAAAAGGCTGTTATTTCAGTTCCTGTTACTTTTAATGATGCTTAAAAATAAGCTACGAAAGATATTGGAACTATTGCAGATTTAGATNTTTAGTTATAAAATTATTTCCATTAAATAAAAAGAATAAAAATAAATAATATTACTTTTTTTTTAATATCGAAATAAATTTACTATGAAAGAACCAAGATCTTATACCGAGAAAAATAAAAGAGTTTAAATTGAATTTAATACCATTTAAGTCTTTTTAAACTTAATTTTGCTTCTCTATTTACATTATTTTACCAGATAAGAAAAATGTTAAAATTATGACTATGAATAATTCATAGAAAGTTTAATTACTAATTAGACATTTAAGAATATATTCATTAAATAAATTAATGATATTTAAGAATCGTTTTGTTTAATTTAATTTGAGAATAATATTGAACAAATAAAATTATTATTGAATAATTTAAAAAAGTCAGAAAGTTTTGCTAATGACGAACATTAAAACAATAATTAAATTAATATTCCATATAATGATAAATTAATCAATTAGAATAATGAAAACCATTAATTTAAATAAATTAAAAATAATACAGATAAGAATGCATAATAGGAGAATCTTTTTAATAGTAAACTTAATTAACCTTTAGATCTAAATTTAAATAATAAAGATTAATAAACAATATAAAATAAATAAAAAATTAAGGAAATAGAAACATATGAAGAAAATCAAGCAAAAATAAATTAATCAACTGATTAAAAAAAATAAAGTTAATCTATAATTGGTATTGATTTAGGTATGAAATATTCAAGTGTTTGTATATATAGAAATGGTTAAGTTGAAATAATAAAAAATGAATATGGATCAATAAGAACACCTTCAATTGTTGCAATATCAAATGATGAGTTTTTAGTTGGAGAAGATGCTAAAAATTAAGCTATTTTAAATCCATAAAACACATTTTAAAATGTTAAGAGAATAGTTGGAAAAAGGTAAATAATATAATTTATATAAAAATAGATATTCAGATCCTATGGTGCAATTACAAATGAAAAATGTTTCATACGAAATTGTTAATAATACTAATAAACCTTATATTTAAGTTTCTGAATATTAAGGATAGAGTCCAAAGTAATTTAGTCCTGAATACATTCAAGCAAAAATTGTATCAAAATTGAAGAAAATAGCAGAAGATTATTTGGGATTTGAAGTTAAAAAGGCTGTTATTTCAGTTCCTGTTACTTTTAATGATGCTTAAAAATAAGCTACGAAAGATATTGGAACTATTGCAGATTTAGATGTTGTATCAATAATAACTGAATCAAAAGCTGCAGCATTAGCTTATGGTTTAGATTACAGTTAAGAAAAAAAGAATGTATTTGTTATTAATTTTGGTGGAGGCACTTTAGATATTTCTGTTGTTGCTGTTTCTAAAAATAAGTTTTATGATATAACACATGCTGGAGAATCGTTTTTAGGAGGAGAAGATTTTGATTAAAGTTTAGTTAATTATTTTAAGTTTAAAATTAAAGCTTCAAAAAATATAGATTTAAGTAATGATAAAGAAGCAATTCAAAAATTACAAATTGAAGCTTAAAGAGTTAAAGAAGCTCTATCTGAAAAAGAAGAAGTTAATATTCAGATCAACGATGTGATAAAAGGATTTCATTTTATTGATAATATTAACAGGTAAAGATTTGAAGCAATAAATGAAGGATTATTTAATAGGATTAAAACAGCATTAAAAACAGCTTTTGAGGAATCAAATTTAGATATAAAAGATATTCATGAAGTCATTCTTGTTGGAGGATTGAATAGAATCCCAAAAATATAAGAAATTATTTAAGAATTCTTTAAAGGAATACCAATTAGGAAGGATAGAATAAATGATGAATTAATTTGTGCTGGAGCTGCTATTAGAGGTGGTATAATAAGTTAAAAAATGCCATATAAATACATTTAAATTATTGAAGTAGAAAGAACTTCAATTAGTTTTGGTGTAGAAACAGTAGGAGGATATATGAGTAAAATTATTCCAAAGGGGACTATATATCCAACAAAGCTTTCTAAAAAATATACTATTAATCATGATTATTAAGAAGAAATCTTAATATAAATATATTAAGGTGAATCATATAGAACTTTAGACAATGAGAAAATAGGAGAATTTATTTTATCTGGTATATAAAGAGCTAAAAAATAAATACCTTAAATAGAAGTCACATTTGAATTAGATTTAAATGGAATTCTAGATGTTACAGTTATTGATCTAGATACAAAGAGTTAANATATTGAACAAATAAAATTATTATTGAATAATTTAAAAAAGTCAGAAAGTTTTGCTAATGACGAACATTAAAACAATAATTAAATTAATATTCCATATAATGATAAATTAATCAATTAGAATAATGAAAACCATTAATTTAAATAAATTAAAAATAATACAGATAAGAATGCATAATAGGAGAATCTTTTTAATAGTAAACTTAATTAACCTTTAGATCTAAATTTAAATAATAAAGATTAATAAACAATATAAAATAAATAAAAAATTAAGGAAATAGAAACATATGAAGAAAATCAAGCAAAAATAAATTAATCAACTGATTAAAAAAAATAAAGTTAATCTATAATTGGTATTGATTTAGGTATGAAATATTCAAGTGTTTGTATATATAGAAATGGTTAAGTTGAAATAATAAAAAATGAATATGGATCAATAAGAACACCTTCAATTGTTGCAATATCAAATGATGAGTTTTTAGTTGGAGAAGATGCTAAAAATTAAGCTATTTTAAATCCATAAAACACATTTTAAAATGTTAAGAGAATAGTTGGAAAAAGGTAAATAATATAATTTATATAAAAATAGATATTCAGATCCTATGGTGCAATTACAAATGAAAAATGTTTCATACGAAATTGTTAATAATACTAATAAACCTTATATTTAAGTTTCTGAATATTAAGGATAGAGTCCAAAGTAATTTAGTCCTGAATACATTCAAGCAAAAATTGTATCAAAATTGAAGAAAATAGCAGAAGATTATTTGGGATTTGAAGTTAAAAAGGCTGTTATTTCAGTTCCTGTTACTTTTAATGATGCTTAAAAATAAGCTACGAAAGATATTGGAACTATTGCAGATTTAGATGTTGTATCAATAATAACTGAATCAAAAGCTGCAGCATTAGCTTATGGTTTAGATTACAGTTAAGAAAAAAAGAATGTATTTGTTATTAATTTTGGTGGAGGCACTTTAGATATTTCTGTTGTTGCTGTTTCTAAAAATAAGTTTTATGATATAACACATGCTGGAGAATCGTTTTTAGGAGGAGAAGATTTTGATTAAAGTTTAGTTAATTATTTTAAGTTTAAAATTAAAGCTTCAAAAAATATAGATTTAAGTAATGATAAAGAAGCAATTCAAAAATTACAAATTGAAGCTTAAAGAGTTAAAGAAGCTCTATCTGAAAAAGAAGAAGTTAATATTCAGATCAACGATGTGATAAAAGGATTTCATTTTATTGATAATATTAACAGGTAAAGATTTGAAGCAATAAATGAAGGATTATTTAATAGGATTAAAACAGCATTAAAAACAGCTTTTGAGGAATCAAATTTAGATATAAAAGATATTCATGAAGTCATTCTTGTTGGAGGATTGAATAGAATCCCAAAAATATAAGAAATTATTTAAGAATTCTTTAAAGGAATACCAATTAGGAAGGATAGAATAAATGATGAATTAATTTGTGCTGGAGCTGCTATTAGAGGTGGTATAATAAGTTAAAAAATGCCATATAAATACATTTAAATTATTGAAGTAGAAAGAACTTCAATTAGTTTTGGTGTAGAAACAGTAGGAGGATATATGAGTAAAATTATTCCAAAGGGGACTATATATCCAACAAAGCTTTCTAAAAAATATACTATTAATCATGATTATTAAGAAGAAATCTTAATATAAATATATTAAGGTGAATCATATAGAACTTTAGACAATGAGAAAATAGGAGAATTTATTTTATCTGGTATATAAAGAGCTAAAAAATAAATACCTTAAATAGAAGTCACATTTGAATTAGATTTAAATGGAATTCTAGATGTTACAGTTATTGATCTAGATACAAAGAGTTAAAAACGTTAAATAGTCACAACCAATATCTTGAGACCTTCAAAGGAAGAAATTGAATAAATATGGGAAAATAATAAAAATGAATAAAAATAAGAAAAAGAAAAAGAAATAGCAAAATAATTGTAAGATAGAGAATTAATTATTGCTGCTTTTAATAAATTATTCAAACAATACGAATAATTATTTTAAGTATCTATTTTATTAATGAATTAATTAGTCATCTGATTTTAAGAATGTTTTTAATAAAGATGAAATAGACTCTATGTAAGCCCATATCTCTAGTTTTTCAGAATGGCTAGAGAAAAACAAAAAAGAAACAAAAATTAAGAATTTAGAATTTGAACAAAAAGTGTACAATCTACAGAAGTAACAATTTTACATTAAATTAGTCTAATCTGGTAAGAAATATAATAAAAATAAAAATAATAAAAAAAGGATTTATGATTGTTAAAATCATATTTATAATTCTTTTAAAATTAAGTCTTTTATAATAGTATTTTAATTAAGTTGTTAAAAGTTTCTCTTGATGAAGAAAGAAAAAAAAGGAAATATTTCAAAATAAAATTTATACTTTGAGCAATAACAATTCTACCTTTGCTTCAGTTTTTCTTTTTAAGTCTAGCAATGAAAATAGTCTAAAAAAGTTTCATTATAATTCTTGTGAGCATAAATTTTAAGGATTTTCTGAAAATTTTCAAAGAAATTTAAATTTTCTTTATAGCTATAAATTTTAAGAAATTATGGAATCTTTTAATAAAATATTTATTTCTAAATCTTTAATCTATATTCTAAAATTTTTTTTGGTTGATTAATTTTCTAATAGTTCTTTCATTATTTAAAACTTAAATTATTAATCATGTTCCTTTTAATGGATCTTTAATACAGCAGTTATTAAGATCTATCTATTCAGATGGAGAGTATTCATTAGAATTCTCAGGAAAATAATACCAAAAGATTTTACCAGCTGCTCAATCACAGCCAATATAATAATTCCTATCTCATTATTTTTTCTATAATAGAATAGCCAATTAAAAGCTCTGCTAAGTATTTAGATCTTTAAATAAAGCATTAAAAATTAAAAAGAAATTTTTATTTTTATTTGAGAAACAATTTCAAATACATTAAATAATAAGCTTAGGATTAAAATTGTATAAAAAAGTAAAATCGATTTTAAAGTTAAATAGCTTGGCATATTTTAATTTCAATAAACTCAGAAAAACATTTTCTAATTTGATAGGATAAAAGATTTATATTTCTGCATCTAATTTCATTCTTATAAGCACCATTTTCAAAAATCATTTTAAAATAAGATTATATATCGGAATTTAGTTATTACACTATTAACTGATTCAAGTAAAACTTTTTCATTCCCATTTATTTCCTTAGAATCTTAAAAAAATAAAAAAGATAATTGTTTAAGTGAGTAGATTAGAAAAATATTTTGCTATCTTAAATTCACTATGATAATTGATAGTGATATGACTATTAATATTTATTTCAACAAAAACATGATTTATTATTTTATGGATTTGTACATCTTGATTACCGAATCTTACAAGCAATAAGAATACATGAAAATCTAAATACTTAAATTTATTTAGAAGGGTTATAGCAATGGCATTTTATTTAATATGAACATGGAAGAAAATAACTTTGAACGATGTTTATCTGCCCCATCTTTATTATAATAAAACTACATTACCATAATGCATCTTTAGATTCTCTTCATTTTTAAGATCTTTCATACTTTTCTTATAAATCTATTTCTATTAGTAAGATAGCAAAATAATAATAGAATTAAAAAATTTACTTTATTTAACTAAAATTGTCTATTTAAATCTGCGAATAAAATTAATTAGTTAATATTATTTTATTTAAAATTATTAGAGTAAATCCTCTATGAAGGAAAGAAAAAATGAGAAAAATTAAAGAAACACCTTTCTAACAATTTATGGGATTGAATTTGATTCCATTTAAATCATTTTAACCATAATTATAATTTTTTGTTTACTAATTTTTACAGCGAACTCTCTTTATTTATTTTAATCAAAAATTTTTTAATTTGATAATTTTTAGTGAAATAATGATATATGAATTATTAAAATATTATTTTTAAAGCATAATATTATATAAAATAAATTTTTATTATAATTAATAAAAAACAATAATTTAAATTAGATATAAATTTATTATTATTATTTATTTTAACATAATAATAAATCATAATTTTAGATATATGACACTGTTATCGAACTATAAAGAGTATGTCATGTTCCTCTTAAAAAAATTAGTTATTTTATCTGCAAAGAACTCTGATTCCAAGGAAGATCAAAAGAATTTTAAATATTGTAAATTGTGAATGAATTTCCATTCAAATTTGGCTATATCAATTAATTTTTATTCTATATGTGATGATATCTTCTCTTAAATTATATCCTATATTCCACTAGTTGTATTCTTTGATCTTTATATTTTAGCTTAATTTTTTCAATATTGCTTATCAGAAGATTACTTTGATTACTAATATTTGAGGGAAAAATTTGACTATTATTGTGACGAAAATTTTAGTTCTAGATATAAATTTTAACTATAATGTTAAAAAAAAATTATTGAGAATTATTATAGATATTAATTTTCAATAAATGTAAATCTTCGAAAACAACTTTGCATCCTGAAACAAAATTATATGATTGAAATCAGATATAAAATATTTAAGAAAACTGGAATTTAAAAAACAATTCTGTTTTTAAAAATTCATTTTTTAATTAAGTTCCTTAATTTGCATGCTATATAAGAAAATTTTAATCAATAAATTAGGACTTCTACATAAAATTAAATAGTATATTAATAGATTTTAATTTATTTAATTAAATTGGATAATGATTGTACGAATCATAAATATTCTTTTACTTCAGATGGGTTTTCCATTTATTTGATTTTTTCTTTTATTTTTTATTCGATTCTACTAAATTACATGTTTGTATTACCTTTTAAAATTTTACAGCTATTCTTCAAATTCTTAAGTTTTAATTTTTTTATCGTTTTTATTTTATTGAAACCATTTTGAAATAGCAGAGATCATAGCTTTCATAGAATCTAATTCATCTTTACTCCAAAGTTTCTCAAAATCAGATGACTAACTAATTAAATATTTATACTTAAAACTAATTTTAGTATCTGTTGATATACAGATCAAGAACTCTAATTGTTGATTCTCTTTTATACGACAATTTTTCTTGTTCTCTCTTATTATTTTCCTTTTATTATTCAATTTCTTCCTGGGAGGATCTCATTTTATTGGTTGTTACGATATGTTTTTATTAACTCTTTGTATCTAGATCAATAACTGTAACATCTAGAATTCCATTTAAATCTAATTCAAATGTGACTTCTATTTAAGGTATTTATTTTTTAGCTCTTTATATACCAGATAAAATAAATTCTCCTATTTTCTCATTGTCTAAAGTTCTATATGATTCACCTTAATATATTTATATTAAGATTTCTTCTTAATAATCATGATTAATAGTATATTTTTTAGAAAGCTTTGTTGGATATATAGTCCCCTTTGGAATAATTTTACTCATATATCCTCCTACTGTTTCTACACCAAAACTAATTGAAGTTCTTTCTACTTCAATAATTTAAATGTATTTATATGGCATTTTTTAACTTATTATACCACCTCTAATAGCAGCTCCAGCACAAATTAATTCATCATTTATTCTATCCTTCCTAATTGGTATTCCTTTAAAGAATTCTTAAATAATTTCTTATATTTTTGGGATTCTATTCAATCCTCCAACAAGAATGACTTCATGAATATCTTTTATATCTAAATTTGATTCCTCAAAAGCTGTTTTTAATGCTGTTTTAATCCTATTAAATAATCCTTCATTTATTGCTTCAAATCTTTACCTGTTAATATTATCAATAAAATGAAATCCTTTTATCACATCGTTGATCTGAATATTAACTTCTTCTTTTTCAGATAGAGCTTCTTTAACTCTTTAAGCTTCAATTTGTAATTTTTGAATTGCTTCTTTATCATTACTTAAATCTATATTTTTTGAAGCTTTAATTTTAAACTTAAAATAATTAACTAAACTTTAATCAAAATCTTCTCCTCCTAAAAACGATTCTCCAGCATGTGTTATATCATAAAACTTATTTTTAGAAACAGCAACAACAGAAATATCTAAAGTGCCTCCACCAAAATTAATAACAAATACATTCTTTTTTTCTTAACTGTAATCTAAACCATAAGCTAATGCTGCAGCTTTTGATTCAGTTATTATTGATACAACATCTAAATCTGCAATAGTTCCAATATCTTTCGTANATCAATTAATTTTTATTCTATATGTGATGATATCTTCTCTTAAATTATATCCTATATTCCACTAGTTGTATTCTTTGATCTTTATATTTTAGCTTAATTTTTTCAATATTGCTTATCAGAAGATTACTTTGATTACTAATATTTGAGGGAAAAATTTGACTATTATTGTGACGAAAATTTTAGTTCTAGATATAAATTTTAACTATAATGTTAAAAAAAAATTATTGAGAATTATTATAGATATTAATTTTCAATAAATGTAAATCTTCGAAAACAACTTTGCATCCTGAAACAAAATTATATGATTGAAATCAGATATAAAATATTTAAGAAAACTGGAATTTAAAAAACAATTCTGTTTTTAAAAATTCATTTTTTAATTAAGTTCCTTAATTTGCATGCTATATAAGAAAATTTTAATCAATAAATTAGGACTTCTACATAAAATTAAATAGTATATTAATAGATTTTAATTTATTTAATTAAATTGGATAATGATTGTACGAATCATAAATATTCTTTTACTTCAGATGGGTTTTCCATTTATTTGATTTTTTCTTTTATTTTTTATTCGATTCTACTAAATTACATGTTTGTATTACCTTTTAAAATTTTACAGCTATTCTTCAAATTCTTAAGTTTTAATTTTTTTATCGTTTTTATTTTATTGAAACCATTTTGAAATAGCAGAGATCATAGCTTTCATAGAATCTAATTCATCTTTACTCCAAAGTTTCTCAAAATCAGATGACTAACTAATTAAATATTTATACTTAAAACTAATTTTAGTATCTGTTGATATACAGATCAAGAACTCTAATTGTTGATTCTCTTTTATACGACAATTTTTCTTGTTCTCTCTTATTATTTTCCTTTTATTATTCAATTTCTTCCTGGGAGGATCTCATTTTATTGGTTGTTACGATATGTTTTTATTAACTCTTTGTATCTAGATCAATAACTGTAACATCTAGAATTCCATTTAAATCTAATTCAAATGTGACTTCTATTTAAGGTATTTATTTTTTAGCTCTTTATATACCAGATAAAATAAATTCTCCTATTTTCTCATTGTCTAAAGTTCTATATGATTCACCTTAATATATTTATATTAAGATTTCTTCTTAATAATCATGATTAATAGTATATTTTTTAGAAAGCTTTGTTGGATATATAGTCCCCTTTGGAATAATTTTACTCATATATCCTCCTACTGTTTCTACACCAAAACTAATTGAAGTTCTTTCTACTTCAATAATTTAAATGTATTTATATGGCATTTTTTAACTTATTATACCACCTCTAATAGCAGCTCCAGCACAAATTAATTCATCATTTATTCTATCCTTCCTAATTGGTATTCCTTTAAAGAATTCTTAAATAATTTCTTATATTTTTGGGATTCTATTCAATCCTCCAACAAGAATGACTTCATGAATATCTTTTATATCTAAATTTGATTCCTCAAAAGCTGTTTTTAATGCTGTTTTAATCCTATTAAATAATCCTTCATTTATTGCTTCAAATCTTTACCTGTTAATATTATCAATAAAATGAAATCCTTTTATCACATCGTTGATCTGAATATTAACTTCTTCTTTTTCAGATAGAGCTTCTTTAACTCTTTAAGCTTCAATTTGTAATTTTTGAATTGCTTCTTTATCATTACTTAAATCTATATTTTTTGAAGCTTTAATTTTAAACTTAAAATAATTAACTAAACTTTAATCAAAATCTTCTCCTCCTAAAAACGATTCTCCAGCATGTGTTATATCATAAAACTTATTTTTAGAAACAGCAACAACAGAAATATCTAAAGTGCCTCCACCAAAATTAATAACAAATACATTCTTTTTTTCTTAACTGTAATCTAAACCATAAGCTAATGCTGCAGCTTTTGATTCAGTTATTATTGATACAACATCTAAATCTGCAATAGTTCCAATATCTTTCGTAGCTTATTTTTAAGCATCATTAAAAGTAACAGGAACTGAAATAACAGCCTTTTTAACTTCAAATCCCAAATAATCTTCTGCTATTTTCTTCAATTTTGATACAATTTTTGCTTGAATGTATTCAGGACTAAATTACTTTGGACTCTATCCTTAATATTCAGAAACTTAAATATAAGGTTTATTAGTATTATTAACAATTTCGTATGAAACATTTTTCATTTGTAATTGCACCATAGGATCTGAATATCTATTTTTATATAAATTATATTATTTACCTTTTTCCAACTATTCTCTTAACATTTTAAAATGTGTTTTATGGATTTAAAATAGCTTAATTTTTAGCATCTTCTCCAACTAAAAACTCATCATTTGATATTGCAACAATTGAAGGTGTTCTTATTGATCCATATTCATTTTTTATTATTTCAACTTAACCATTTCTATATATACAAACACTTGAATATTTCATACCTAAATCAATACCAATTATAGATTAACTTTATTTTTTTTAATCAGTTGATTAATTTATTTTTGCTTGATTTTCTTCATATGTTTCTATTTCCTTAATTTTTTATTTATTTTATATTGTTTATTAATCTTTATTATTTAAATTTAGATCTAAAGGTTAATTAAGTTTACTATTAAAAAGATTCTCCTATTATGCATTCTTATCTGTATTATTTTTAATTTATTTAAATTAATGGTTTTCATTATTCTAATTGATTAATTTATCATTATATGGAATATTAATTTAATTATTGTTTTAATGTTCGTCATTAGCAAAACTTTCTGACTTTTTTAAATTATTCAATAATAATTTTATTTGTTCAATATTATTCTCAAATTAAATTAAACAAAACGATTCTTAAATATCATTAATTTATTTAATGAATATATTCTTAAATGTCTAATTAGTAATTAAACTTTCTATGAATTATTCATAGTCATAATTTTAACATTTTTCTTATCTGGTAAAATAATGTAAATAGAGAAGCAAAATTAAGTTTAAAAAGACTTAAATGGTATTAAATTCAATTTAAACTCTTTTATTTTTCTCGGTATAAGATCTTGGTTCTTTCATAGTAAATTTATTTCGATATTAAAAAAAAAGTAATATTATTTATTTTTATTCTTTTTATTTAATGGAAATAATTTTATAACTAAATTTTTTTGTTCAATTTTTGAATAGAAGAATACTTAAGAAATAAAATTGTTAAGAAAATTAATATTATTTAAATTTATAATTAATCTTTGATCCTTTCAAAAAATATTGAGATGATTAAAAGTTTTGTAGGATATAATATTTTAACTAAAGATGATAGTTTGACAAAATTGTCGAATAGTCAATGATGGAAAATGGAAAAAAATAAAATAGAAATTAATAAGTCTAATTTTCCAAAATCAAATAAATAAGGTCAAGACTTTTGAATTATGTTTCATAATTTAAGTTTCTTAAAACTATGATCCTTTTAAAAAATATTTGAATATATTACAATTAAATGCTTTTATATTAATCATCTACCAATCTTATTTTTTTAAGATTAATTTTTGTTTTTATATAATTTATAGAAATTTTGAAAAGAAAAATAAAAAATGAAAAAAATTTTAGAAATAAATTGGTTGAGTAAATTTAAACTGTTTCAAGAGAGTTTATATACGAAAAGATATTTCCATCTATCATGTAAAATTTTATACGTTTTCTTCTGATTAATATGTATAATTATATCAATAACAACATTTGATGGTTTTAGTTCATAATTAGAGTAACTAAGAGAATATTAATATAGTATACAAATTAAAAGAATAGATTGTTTATAATACCATCATACGTAAAATAATTAAATAACTAAATAAATAGAATGCCTTTTTAAAAATATAATAGAAAAATCACAAATCTAGATTTATAAGATTATTTTATCAGTAATTTAAGCCATAAATAGCGATTCTTAAATAAAACTTATATTATTTTTGAACTACATTTAATAAAAATTAGATAAATTTCATCAAAAATAAGAAGATATCCACTACAAAATGATAAATAATTATTACAAGAATACTAAATTAGATAAAGTAATTTATTAGGTAAATATCATAGCCAATTAGCCTTCTTAGTTTGACAGCTTAGAACTAATTTATAATGAGAAATCTTCATAAACACTTAAGGTTTTCCAATAAATAAATGAGAAGATCTTTGATAAAAAAATAGATCCTTTAATTTGTGTATAGGTGTTGAAAAAGATTAATTATTTTTACTAAGTTGCTTGCGATTTAGAAACTGAAGAATTATATTAAGTTTAAAGCTAAGCAGTAAAAAATGGAAAAATCCTTTTGAGAAAAATTGTGTTTACAATAAATTTTTTTTTTATAATGATTATAAATAAAGAAATAATTTGTTATCACATAAATATTATAAATATATTTAAAATGATAAATATAAATAATAAATAAATTGATTTATAATCAAATTTTTGCTTTAAGTCTTAATTTTGTCAAAAAAATGATAAAATTTAGGTTTCAAATATTTTTGATAATTGATTTATTTAATTTAAAGTTAAAAACAATATTTGAGCCCAAAAATTATTTATTTGTTTTTAAGTGAAATATCAAATATAGCTTGATTAATTCAATTTAATCTTTATTTGAATCATCAAATAAAGATTATTTTAACCTTATATTTAAGTGTCTGAATATTAAGGAGAGAGTCTAAAATAGTTTAGTTCTGAAAATATTCAAGCAAAAGTTTTATCTAAAATGAAGAAAAATAGCAGAAGATTATTTAAGATTTGAAGTTAAATAAGCTATAAATTTAGTTATGGTTTCTTTTAATGATACTTAAAGATAAACTTATATGAATATTGGTACTATTCAGATCATTTTTTCTAAATGTAAATCCTTAGGTTATAATCTTAAATGTCTGTTTCGTTAATGATATTAAACAAAAGAAAGTAGTTCAAAATGATTGTACGTGTACATAATGGAAATCAATGCTATAAATGAATAGGTGGGATTAAAGATGATGGTTTAAGTAATATACAAGAAATTCGAATACGTGAACCATGGTCCAATCACAGATTTAAGTTTCCAAATAATAACATATTGAATATCGGATTTTATTCACATTTGCTCTAAAATTGATCCAATGTAAAAAATTTTTAACCAGTTAATTTTTCTCATTCGATAATATATTTAATTTTAATTGATATAAACGCTAATTTATTCATTAGACATTTTTTAAATAACAAAAATTCAGGCTAGAAGTTTCTCTGCCTAGTTTAGCTAAGAATAGTAATATAAAGAATAATTTTTTAATTATATAATTGTGGCCAAATAATAGCTATTAACAAAATCATAAATGAGCTCAACAAAAAATAAAAATGAGGTTTGGATAGTTGATGATATAAAAAATCTTTGAAATAATGAGAGAGGCTAATCAAAACTTTGTTGATGGATACATATATAAGGCAAAAATTATTCAATTAAGCAATCAACTAGAAATTTTAACAGTAAATATAATCAACATTTAAGATGAAAAAGCAAGTAGCTTTTTTGATAAATTAAACTTTAAAATAACATGGATATAAACCACTCCAAAAATTGAAAGCATATTAAAATCAGCAAATATCCGAAATTTAATCGTTAGCTTATAAAGTTAAAAAAGCATTCGTATCATTTGTAAGATTCAGTTGTCAAGATATACAAATACATAAAATAATAAATCATATATTTGTTGTTGATATGAATTTTCAATAGTCATATCTTTATCCATTCTTTTACTGAATTAAAATTATTACATTATTTTTCTCTCCTACTCACTTAAACAATAATATTTTTATTATTTAAGTTTCTAAGGAAATTAATAGGAATGCAAAAGTTTTAGTTCATTCTTGATTTAAGAATTTGATTTATATATTTTCTAGTATTTAAATCTTTAATGCAATTGAATTTAAATCTATTACTTGAGATAATAACTTTCCATAATGGAGAAAATAATTCACGTAAATGAGAAATTATTTTTAACTGCCAATTAATATTTAAACTTATATAGGAAAGAAATATACCATAAAATTTAAGTTCACAGTTTTTATATTTTTAAGGAATTTATACTGATTGAGATTGATCGTAAGTTTCTATCAGAAGAAACATAATTGTAAAAAAGGTTATTTAATTGAAATTTTAAATTGAGTATAACTTCTTAGATAAAGCTATATTGAATTATTATACAATAATAATATATTTTTACATTAAAATGTAATACCAGAGTTCTTATTTTTTGAATTATAAAATATTTAACATATATTTTTAATATGTTAAATATTAAAATAATAATAACAAAGTATTTCATGAAAATTATTAGTAATATTAATTTTATATAAGAGATACACACATAAAACAATGAGAGAGTAGTGATGGATAAATATAAATATAAAATATAATATTAAGAGAATGAATTGAGTTTATTTTGATAAAAAAAAGATTTAATTAATTTTGAATAAATAATAGAGAGAATGACATTTATCGTGAAGACAAGAAAAGTGTTACTTAATAAATTGTTGAATAGAAGATAATTAGTAAGAAATGAGTTAATAAAAGAGTGTTGAATTATTACATCCAAATAAGGCCACTCCTTCATAGGAATCAGTAGTAAAGGAATTAGCTTAAAAGTACAAAGCTGATGAAAGAAATGTTGTTGTGTATGGATTAAGAACATAATTTGGAGGTAATAGAACAACAGGATTTGCTTTAATATATGACACATAATAGTAATTAATAGATGTATAATATTAGATATCTTTTGAAATTTGAACCAAAGTTTAGATTAAGAAGAAGAGGCATAATTCCAAAGAGAGATGGTAGTAGAAAAGGATGGAAGGAAGTTAAATCAAAATTAAAGAAAACAAGAGGATCTGAAAAAACTAAAATCTATATGTCTAGAAAGACTGATAAGAGAGAAGTAATAAGAGCTTAGAAAGAGACTTATCTTAAAGGTTTTGTAGGAAAATGATATTAATTGATTGAGATTAAAAGAGTACATTATAAATTTATTTATATATATATATATAATGATTCTTGATTGATGGAAGAGAGAAGATGCTAATTGTTATAATATATTAATTAAATATCGTTTTTGATTGATGAGATCTACAACTAGAAGATCAGAATAAGTAATAACTAGCTAGTATGTAACTCCTTAAGGGATTTGCGATCCAGAATAAGCTAAAGCAATAGCTAAGAAACTGTTTGATTTATATGATAGAGATAGAAATGGAATTATAGATGGTTAAGAAGGTAAGAAGCATCATTAATTATTATAGTTTCACCAATGTTAATTGATGCTTATCGTGGAATGAGCAAAGCTTTTAATCCTACTTAAGTCAAATTATTATATATTCTTAGGCAGATGTAGATACATTCGTTTAGGTTTTGGATGTAAATAGAGATGGTAAGATAACTTATTAGGACGTGGAGAATTACGCATTACGCATATTGGTTTTAAATTAAATCATTTTTAGGCTGGTATTTAACCATTACCATCTTACAGTATCTAATTACCACCTTAAAGATAATATAATAGAATGGTTGAGGAAAGATTAGAGGTTGCAAGAAGATTGTTTAAGAAATTTGATGTTACTCAATGTGGATACTTGACTAGAAATGAAGTATAGAAATTGGTAAGTTTAGGTTCCAGGATTATTGAGAGAAACTTATAAATAATTGAATATTGAGTTTGAACCTACTCCTTAGGATGTTTAAGCTTGGATGGATATGACTGATACAGATTGTGATGGTAAAGTAGCTTTGTAGGATTTTGAGTAATCAATTATTAGGTCTTTATAAGAATAGGGTATATCCCTTTATTGAATGAGAATATAAATTAAAATATATTCAATAATTTAATGCAAGGTATTCTTTCACTCCAATTACAATTCTCAAAATAACTACTACTCATTATATCCAAGAATTCGAACAACCAGAAAGATTTAAATTAGAACTAAACGATGTTATTGATACACTTTTTATTACTATCAAACATTTCCTTAATGAAATAACTAATTCCATTCAAAATAATCATTGTTCCCAGAAAATTTGATCTTTATTGTAAGATCATCACTTTTTGAGTAATTATATGATTTTCTAAAAAATTAATGGAATTAGTAACTTACTATTATTGTTTAAGAAGATATAATGAAATTCACCTGTTTCAGTCAAAATTAAATCATTAAACATTCTTTAAGAGTTGGGTTGTTATGATAAATATCTAATAATAATACTTTATGGGAGAATTAAAAAATATCATTTAAGCAAAAGAACAATTATAATTATGTTTAATAAAAAAAGACATTCAAAGAAGCATTGCAGAAAGAAATAGTAATCCTCCTGAAAGAACTAAATTAAATAATATTATTCTTAAACTTAATGAACTTAAATTAGTCTAGATAGAACATTAAAAAGTGAGAAAGCATCCTTAATTACTTAATTAGATAATTGAATGCAAGTAGAATCTGAATAAGTAATAAGCTTAAGCAGAATTTGATAAATTAATAAATTCATTAAATAATAATATTATTAAGCAGAGGAATAATTAAGAAATAGCTCTTATTATAATATTAATGACTATTTAATTGATATGATCAAAGACATTAATATTCTGCTTATGATAATCCAACAATAGCACCTAAGATAAGAAGTATATTAAAAAGGCCTGATGCTGTGTATGCTATTTTTAAGATGGATTCTTTTTCTTTAAAATATGCAACTAAGATTACGATGTAGGCTTGATTATATAATTGTGATCATACCTGCGAAATGAAGATAACAGATAACAATGGAATAAGTTCTCGGTTAATATAATAGAGACATTCCAACAGGAATAACATGATATCCGAAGAATATGGTAAAGAATTTATTCAAGGCTTCAACACTTATAAATGAAGGTTTAATCTGATTTTGGATATGTGTATAATTACTTAAGGTTGATTTGGAGGAACAGCTCCATCATTATGTTAGCCTGGTTAAGATGTATCTTATTCAGAATTTTAGTAATATGATGCAATACTAATTACCATATAAATTAAGTAGAGAAGGAAGAGTTCAACAAATATTCCTATAGATTGTGTAATTCATTCTTGTACCTTTTCTCATTGGAGCAAAATCTTCTGTGCATGATATTGTCTTGGAACTTTCGGACATTATTTTTGAATTTGTTTCTCTAAGTTAACTAAAATAATTATATTATATATGAATATTCATTTTTGATAATTTCAATTCAGATAATGATAAATATTCCTAATATATTTATATAATTGCTATATACCAATCTTTTTCATCTCTTCTAATATATTCTCTTTCAATCAAATTTTCTATTCTCTTTTTGATGAAAAGTACATCTGGCTTAAAAATTGAAATCATAGATTAACAACTTTCAAGTAATTCATGATGCTTAATAGTCTTTTTTGATTTCATCAACCTAACTAGTTGAGAATCAACTACAAATTCCCTCTATTTATTAATTTATTCCATCTATTAAAGTTCTTCTTAATTCTATTCTTTAACTCTACTCTATAAATATTATTCAATATTCTTACAGCTCTTTTTGGTTGCATTTTTTAATTTGGTAATAATTTCATTTTCTTCGCTCTGTTATTAAAAATTTAATTTAATTTTAGAATTTCATTTTCATCTTAAAATTCTTCAACATCCTACTTTTCTCTTGATAATATTTTCAAACACACAAAAGGTATAAGGGAGTTTTCTAAATCAATTTTATCTATTTTAGTTAATTCTAATAAATTCTTGATAGAGAATGAATCAGCTTAATTGAATTATAGGAAAGCAATCATTTACATAGTATTCACATTCAAATAATACTTTTCATTTTATATTCTATATACTAATTCTCCTTAACCCATATTAAAACACCAAGTAAGTATTCTCCCATTATGTTTTTACAAATACATATCTTCATAATTTCTAAATTAATATAATTAAATAAACTGAATACTTTAAAACAGTTTCTATTTAAGGTGGTTTCATGATATTATCTTAAATAGTGTTAATTGGCCAACAACCTTAGGATAATAAATATACATTTAATTCAAATTTTAAGTTTTTGCTAATAGCTTAATCAGTTGCAAATCTATTTGATTATTCAATATCATTAATCATACTTGATAATTATGTTCTAAATTTAATTGAATAATTTACAAAACATTGGTGCCAGTTTCACCTTTAAATTTTTATAGTAATTATTTCTCTAATTACAAATTCTAAATTTATTAATTAAGTAATCTATTTGATAAGAATTTTTAATAATGTCTAAAGAATACATCACGTTAATAAAGTAATTAAAAGACAGAAACAATTTTCCCTAACTTTTTATCAGTTTCCATTTCATTTACTCCTTTTTCACTTCTAATGATAATATCAGTATAAATGGCTAACCACATTGGTGATTTCTCATTTTTATTGATTACTGACATAAAAGCTCCACTATAAGATTTTTATATTTCTGGTTCATCTAATAATTAATTTTTTAATATGCTTTATGCTTTTTCCATAACTTCTAGCATTCTTGTAAAATATAATTCAGCCTCATCTATATATAATATCTAAAATTACGTAATTAACGACCATCTTTTAATTATACTTATTGTTCTTATTCAATTGAATTATTAATGATTTATCCTTATTATTCAAAATAGTTTTAATAAGCTTGAGCAATATGAGTTATACATTCTTTAGTTCTGAGTATAAATTAAAATAATTATTTCAATTCATCAGTTCTGTCATACTACAACATATAACCTACTCCTGTAGTTGAATTAGTTAATCTTGCTGCTTAATCTTTAACCAACATTATTTTTAATTTATTCTCTATTGCAGATTAACTTTTCGGATAACATTCCATACACATATCCATTTCTAATTTAAAAATAGAATTCCCCCAATTTATAAACTCTGGTGTTGTAAACTTTTATTTTTCATCTATCTCATCCTTATAAAATTTTTATGTCTTTTATTTATTCAACTTAAATATACTTCTTGCAAAAGATGATGTTGGAATTAATCTTTGTAGAATCTTTACGCATCATTTGGTTTATTACATTGATAATCATATTCTCCTACATCTTTCATAAATTTTAATTCCACTTCTTTAGAACCCATCACAGAAAATAACTAGATTAATTGTTTTATTTATTTATTTAATAAAACTCCACTCTTTCTTGTTTCCTAAATAAATTATAAAATTGTATTCAATATTAGTTTATTACATTTTTCAAAATACCCATCTTTCAATAATTTTAAAGAGGTACTACACAAAGTTGTTCCAACACTTGGCATTGCAAATTTATCTAGATAATAAAACATTTTATATAGCCAATATGAATAAGCCTTATAATCATGATAAGTTTTAGAAACTATGTGAAGTACACTCTCTTTTTCCCCTATAAATTCATTCACCTTTTAATATATATCAGCAATGAATTCATTCAAAAAATCCTTAAAAAATTAAATTAATTATTCTTCCACTTTATCACCTTTATTATTATTCTAATTTTTAGTTTGATTTTTTTAAGCTTGAGCAGTTCCAGCCTCATCTGTCAATTTATATATATCACTTATAATTATTAAAATCAATACTTATAAATATTCATGATATCTGAATTTGCCATTTTTATAGGTGTTCCTTCTAACAAACCTTATCTAATCTTTTTTGTAGCCTCTTAACATAATTCTTTTATTTTTTATAACTTTTATTGGTATAGCTTTTATTTTTCAAATTGACCTTCAATTTTTTTCATTTTTTATTTATATATTTTTAAAAGAGGGAACACAGAAATTGTTATAAATATATAAAAATCACTTATTGACCCAACATGGAGTAAGTTTATGAGCTATTTCTGGTTAAATTTATAATTCTTCTAAAATATATATTTCTTATAGAATTACTACCTTTGTAAAAATCAAAGAAATTGGGTAATTTAATATTAGGATCAAGAACAAAATCTTATTTTCTTAATTCATCAAAATAAGGATGTAACAATGCTTCTAAGGGTTTTAATCGATCCCTTGGAGAATAGACCAATATTTTACTAAGAAAATCAATAAAATGAGGTTCAGGTTTAAATTTAGCAAATACCTTTTTATAAATATATATATTAGATACCTTAGCCCAAGGATGACATTTAATTTATGGGAATTTAAACTATGAATGTTATGGATTCATTTATTTAATTTAATCAATGTTAGGTGTTCCTAAGATTTTAATAATTTCAACAAGTTAATCAGTAGCACTTTCTCCTGGAAATAAAGGTTCACCAATAAGCATTTCAGCTATTACACAACCTAAGTAGAATTATATATAATAATAACATAAATACCAATAGACCACATATCTATAGCAGTAGTATATTCAGTAGCTCCAAATATTAATTCTGGCGCTCTATAATATCTAGAACATATATAGGCAACATTTGGTTCTCCTGCAATTAATCTTTTAGCAGATCCAAAATCACAAATTTTGAGGACATGATTATTTGGATTTACGAGAATGTTTTAAGGTTTAATATCTCTATGACAAATACCAACTCCTAAATACAAATTTATATATTATTATAAACCTTATAAATATGCTAAAGCTCTTAACATTTAATAACTGTATATTTTTAATGATTAATTTGGAAATCCAACTTTATTCTTTTTGAAATTTCTTATAATCTTACTAAGTGTTTCAGGAATGTAATCCATAACTAAATTTAAGTATATATCTTCACTCTATTTTAAATACAATAATATTAACATTTTTAGTATTGTCTCCTTATGTAAAAAAAGCCTATCTCAATTTTACTATACATGGATGATTTAACTCTGAAATTATTAAATGTTCTCTGTTTTTATATTTTCTATCTTAAAACACTTTTTTTATCGCCACTTTTTCATCACTTTTAGTATCAATGGCCTTAAATTGTTGAGATTGTTAAATATTACCAAATATACCATTCCAAATGTTCCATTGCCTACTACTTAACATATTTGATATTGATTAGATAGTTTATTACCATTCTAAACTTAATTGTCTTATGGTAAATCATCTGCTTATGTTACTAATCGTTATTTCATATATTATAATATTATTTTATATTATAGATGAGTAATTCATTACAAATAATTTTGTATCGAAATTATTTTTAATGCCATTCATATATCAGATTCACATCGTTTTTCAGTTTTTAAGAATGTAAAATCTCTATTTTCACTTTGGAGAGAAGTTTCATAATTTCCTTTATAGAAAAGCAAATCATTATATTGATTTATTTGACTACTTTATGAAATGCTATGTCGACTGATAGGAATTTAATCTAAACAACTATTAGATTTAGATAAATCTTCAAATTCTTAATTAAGTATATGATTTTAACTTTTTTGATATCTAGGATAGAAATGATAAAATTACATATTTTCTGAAATGTTTTAAAGTGAAATATCACTATCAGTGAAATGGTGATCTTCTTAATTGATTTTATGAATAAGAGAATTAGTAAATTATTACCAAGTTTTAAAGAAGATTAATACATTTAAATAGTCGTGTAATAGATTAATATTAGTTTGAGTTGTAATGGCAGGACCAATATTAGATCTAGGAATGTTTTTGTTTTTACGATAATATTTGAGTCTAAATTATTATTCTTTATTAAATTATTTGATTAATTTAATAGAATGAATAGAACCTTGAGAAAAGACTTCTTAATAAAAACATCTTCGAAAGAGTTCATAAATAAGTGAATTATATTATATATGTCCATATGAATCACTAAAATAATTAATAATATAAAATACCATTATAATTTAAATTTAGATGATAATTTACATGCATCCCAAAGATTGGAATCACTATCAACTCCAAGAGGAAGTCGAATATCCATGAGAAATTTACCTAAGAATTTATAATGCATAGTTTATCCTTAAGTTTAAGTAGTGTATTTACACCAGATAGTTTTAATATTATCAACATTTTCAACATAAGTTTAGATTAATGAGTTTTACATTTGAAAGAATTATTCAAATTATTCAATTAGACCTAAAACAAACAGATTAAGTAAAACATAATTGGATAGAAGCATAAATAAAATGAAATATAATTGATTAGCAGGTGATCCACAATATTTTTGATCATCTTAACATAATGGATTATGTTACATAGTATCAGTCATAATCGTTCTCCAATCATCTCCAGAAGCACATTTAAATAATGCTAACATAGCATTACCAAAATTAGTGAAATTAATATAATCATCCATTACTTATCCAGAATCTATATTACCATATAATTAACATCCAAATAAAGCAAAGATTATCATTGTTATAATAAGAATTGTGAATATTTTAACAAGATATGGAACAGCAAAAGCCATCACTCTAATTAGTCTTTAAATATTTATTAAACCTTAAAAGATGAGAATTATTCTTAAACTTCTTAAAGCAAAAAAGAGACGTAAAATTTAAAAATAACTATCATTCGGAGATGATTTATGATAAATCATTGTCCATTCTGTTATATAATGAGTAATTAAATCAATTAATCCAATTAATGTTAATAAGAAATAGAATCTTCTCCAATTATTATCAAAAAATCTATTTATTCCTAATGCTAAAACTAATAGTATTATCCATAAAAGATAAAAAATAGTCAATATATTATGTAATGTATTTATTACTAAAAAATACTATATATCCATATTTGAACTAAATAATAATAAGATGATCAGATCCATTATTAGAAATATGAATATAAAGTATTTAACTTTAGTATTATTTACAATATCAGATGCTATTTTTCTGATACCATTTTTAGGTGGAGTAGAATAGATAGGAAAATCTGACATAATAATATTAGTAATATTTTTGAATTCTTATTAAACTTAAGTGAGTTCATTATTTTACATTTTAAATTGATTTTCTTTAAGAATATTAAATAGAATTCCTGTAAATAAACTTAAAAAGAACATCGATCCAATAAAACAGAATACTATTAGAAATAAATAAGTATATAGATAACTATCAAATGGAATAGGTCCAATATCATCAGTTTAGCTATTTTCTGCAACTTATAAGATTTCTCCCCATCCATCAAATGTAGATACAACAAATAAAGTAGGTATAGCAACTGTTATATTATCAAAATTATGTTTATAATTAATCCATGTTTTATTTTAAGATATACATTCCTATTTAGAAACGTAGAATTCCATCTTATCTTCACAAAATCCAAATTAATTTTCATATAAAATAATTCCATAAACTCCAAAAACCATCCAAACAGAAAGTAATGTTAATAATACATTTAATATATCAACTAAAGCTTATCCTAATGCTGCTCTTAATTATATTAACCAATTAATTCTATACATTAATTTCATTGGTCTCAAATAACCTAAAAACATCAGCACATCAATTATAGGTGCATATTCATCATTACTATATTGTATCAAATATACTATTATGTATACAATATCTGTTATTTACCAAATACTTTATAAAAATGATCCCTTATCTAATATAGCACCTTTGGCTATTATATTAAACCAGAAATCAGAAAAAATAATGATATTTACTGTTAATTACATTATATTCAATTGTTTTGAAGATTATTCAGATTCTTATTCATAATCGTGATAAGTTTAAATTATAAATACTACAATTGACCAATATATTATTCCATCAATTAGATACATATATATAGTTGATGTTACTAATTTTGTAAGACTGATTCTAAATCTATTACTTTTATCAAACAAATATAAAGATTATTAACATTAAATTTCATTATAAATAGAACTATTTCTCTGTTATATTTTATTGTATTATTATTTAATCGAGAATAATAAATTAGATATTAAACTCAATTTCAATCTTTTAGTTGCAATTTCTGCATTATTTCTATCATCTTCTTCCTCAAGTATTATTTCATGTTATTCTGAATTTATAGAATTCTGTATACTTTATATATCATCATTTATTATGATATCATCTGAATTCCCTAAATACTTTCCAAATCCATCTAATAATATTGCTAAAACTAATCCATAAGTCAAGTAATTTAATATCAGAACCATAGAATATGAATATATAACTGCAAAATTATAATTTATATCACCTCCCATAACATACACTCCATACCAATCATCGTTGGTCATAATATTGAATATAGTCATAAATGATTTAACAATATTATCAAATGAATGTAATTATCCTAAAGTATCATTCTAATCAAACACTCCTGCATACATTTCCATTCCTATTAAAGCATACATAAAAATGACCAAAAACATTAAAAATGTTAAATAGATATATTATTTAAATGTTTTCTATGCAATCTATCCTATTTTATTTGCCATAGCATTATATTTAAGACATCTATAAAATAATAAACATTTAGTTCCTCTAATTAATCTTAATCCTTATTAACTAGAACTACCTATTTCATCCCCTAAAGTTAATTCTACAAAATTAATAGAAACTATTAACATCTACACTACATGATTCCAATCACTCATCAATTATTTCAATCTATACGAGAACAATTTCATTCCTATCTCTATACATAGAAATATTGTTGTTATATCTTCTATTTATGATATTAAACCTGCATTTAATATTCCTTATAATGACAAAAACACAAAGTTAAACAATATTATCATATCAAAATACAACTCACTAAATTTACTACTCACTAACATATAACAATATTTCTATCCTATCTTTATCTTACCTCCTATTCCTTTCAACCATATTTCTCTATCCTATTCATTTAATTATTTCTTTATCTCATTAAAACCTATTAATCTTACCAAATTCTGATGTAATACATCTCTACCTGACCAATTCTTCTTCTTTATTATCTTATTCATCATCTCCTTCTTTCTTATTAAACCATATCTAAATTCATTTGATTCAGAATTATCATGAATTATCTATATCTTTCCATTTATCTTCTCACTCACTCCTTCATAATCAATATATTATTCCTATATCAATACATATCTCTTTCTTTTATTTATTAAACTAAATGGAAGACTCATATTACTATTCTTCTATTATTTCTTATTATTTTATTTTATTATTTATTTTCTATCTATATTATTACAATTTTCACTTTCATCTAACTTCTCTAATGTTCTATCTTCTCTTATCTTATTTTTTAATCTCCTTTCTTTTCTTACTGGTAATCTTCTCCCCTTTATCATACTTAAACTTTGTTTCCTTTCCTACTTTAAATTATCTAAACTATAAAACTGCTTTAAATTAATTGAACGTCTTTATTCTACTAACTATTTCTAAGTTTATTCAAATATTCTCTATTAATTTTAACTTTATTTTAATAATAAATTTACGTTTAACTCTATAAAATATCCTCTACACTACTAAATTCTTAATATATATTGTAATTTGGATATGCTTTTAATTAACAAAAATCGTATTACAATAATTTAAATATTAATTACAATTCTAATGGATCATCAGTAAAATCAGTTGCTTTTATTTCTTTTTAACATTATTCTAAATTACTAAATCTTGGAAGCAATATATTCTTCAAATTGAATTACTCCAAATAATCCTAAATTCCTTTCCTTCGCTAAAAATCTATAATTATAAATTACATTTTCAAATTTTGTTTATTTACCAGATAATGTCCTTGGTTTTTATATTTTTTTTAATTCCTTATTTGCTTTTTCGATTGAAATAGTTTAAGTAGTATTTAAATTATTCTTCAATTTCATATGATATTTTTAATAGGATTAATAAAATCCAATATATCTGAGAATAGCAACATCAAATATTGATATTAAGTCTCTTTCAGGATTTTCTTATCTTTCTTTTAACTTTTTTAACATTTCCTATTTTAATTCTTCTTGAACAGTTTCTTCTGCTGCTTCAGCATAATGTGTTTTTAAAACCGCAATAACAAGATTAAAACCAAAAAACCCCCCTACAAATATAATTAATAAATAATAAATCCAAACATATGGATGATAAATCCTCATTGTATAAAACATAACCCAACTCCAATCATCCATTGTGATAGTTCTTAATATCTATCCTAAAGCATAAATAAAATTATTGAAGGATGTTGGTAGTCTTGGAGTTTATTCTGAATAAAGACATTTCATTTAATCAGGACAAGTATCTTAAACACATTAAATCCAATCTTCTGTTTCTTATCCATTTTCATATTAACATCTATAATTAAATAAATTCTAAAATAATAACACTCCAAAAACCCCAAAAAACAAAGAAAATAAACCAACTATTATTAATGCTTCTACTAAAAACTTTATTGAAGATTTTAATGCTTTTAACATAATTGATAATCCTTTCAATATATCTCCCAAATAGTTTAATAATGTTATCATTCTTAATGGAGATAGATTTATTATTACTATATCAGGTCTATAAAGATTTAAAGTTGTTAAGATTATCAATAAGAAATCGAAAATATTCAAAGGACTTCTAAAAAAGCTTTTTTTATTCAAAATTACCCCAGATGCCATTATTCTCATACCTATTTCACTTAAAAATAAAATTGTAATCACTTCTTCAAGACTTTTAGTATCTGTTCTATTCTCTGTTTTCACAACAATAAATAATCCAACATTACACAATATTAAAATTGTCATGCACAATTTAAAAAATACTGTCTATAATATTATTTCTATCAAGTAAGAGGGAAGATAGCAAATATATACTATTTTCTTTCTGATATCTAAATATTTATTTTTATCATGATAACGCTACAATACAAATTAAATTTACTGACAATTCATATACTAATCTATCGTAACCAGTCACAACCTTTAATTATACATAATAAGGATCTTTAAATGGGTTTCTTTGACTAAGCTTATAATATTTTCGGAGTATTTTCTCAAATTCTATTTGACCATCAGAAGCATTTGATATTTAATATACTTCTTTAAGAAAATTAGTTTAAATCTCCTCATTGTTATCGATCTACATTGTTTTATTTTTTTTTTATTTCTGGGTTTTATAATCTGTATTGAAATCAAATTAAGATTCATTATCGATTGAAGAATTGAATTTATCTACAACATTTATGGAAGGTAAAGAATCTTCTGTAAAATATTCACTGCTTAAACAAAATGACTGGTCTTATTTTCTTTATAATTAATAATATACTACTTTTCTTCTAAAAATTTTGAATGAATAGCAGGAATTTTAGATGATATTTGTTAAGAAAACTTGAATTAATTGATTGAGTTTCGATAATCATATTTAGTATTTGAATTAGAATCTAATTAAATGAATTAATTACCTTAATATATCTATGCTAATGATATAGAACGGCTTGCAATTTCTGATGAAATCGTGATTCTTCTCTATGTTATTTTTGAGTTTCCAGACATACTAATAACTTCTAAATAATAATTAATTTTTAAATTAGAAATTTGTCTAAAAGATTTACTTTTATAATCAAATTCAGTAATGAAGAGACATAATTGAGCTTAATGGCTTAATTCTTATATAATTTATAGAAATATATCATATTTTATTCACAACCATTTTTTTAAACTGCGTTTCTCTTCTTTCTCATTTTATTCCTTTTCAATAATACTTACAGTATTTAATGAAGATTCAAAATCTTGAATTGATAAACCATCCTAAAAGCAATTTGTTTGATCAACATTTTTGTCCCTTTAGAAACTTGTCATTTCTTTCGATTTCTAAGCAGATTAATATGAAATGGATGTTTTATTACATGATGAGTTTCTGCTTTTTCTACCTGATAGAGTCTTATAATTATCGATAAAGAATAGATGCTTTTCAGAAAATTTAAAAATTAAATTATTAGTTCTTTTAATTAAATCTTCCCCTTTAGAAGACATATCATTAATTCTAATAACTGAATATTCTTATTTCTAAGCCCAAAAGTTGGTTGTTTCTTATAGGGCTTATTTAATTTTTAATGAATTTTCATCATTATTGGAAGTAGAATTAAGTTTTGATTCAAATTTAGTATAATTTTTAGAGTAATATTGCGCCTATTTTAAATACAAAACAGTACTTCCTATTTAATTTCATAGAAATGTTTGCCAAGTTCTTTAAGTAAGGCATATTAATTCTATAAGTCACTTTAAAATTGAGATAAATGATAATGAATGCCATTAAAAAGTTCACTATTAAATTAGCGACTAATTTAAATCAATTCATTGTTAAATTGTTCTAGAGCCTTGCTTTATCTTTTGATGAGCTATTTAAATAATTTATAGTCTTTGTGTTATTAAGATAGATTTTCTAGTAGTTCCTTTATGGGATGAGTTTAATTTGACATAAATAATTAATTTATAATAATTAGATATTGATGGTCTATACATGTATGTTTAGATTAATAAGTTTTTAAAGAGTGATTTTTTATATGATAAGTAAGTATAATACTCTCATATAGTATAATGATGATAATAATAATTAATATTAGGGGTTGAGACTTCAAAAATTTAATTAAAAGAATTAAAAAAAGATATGAAATACATCTTGACTGAGGAGCACGTTCAAATTCCTGAGAAGATTGAAATCACATCTAAATCTAAGTAGGTTAAAGTAAAAGGTAATAATGTATTTTATGGAATATTAGGACCAAGAGGTGAATTGACCAAAAATTTTAAACATGCTGCTTTAGATATCTAAGTGTAAAAAAAAGTGAATAAGAAAACAAATGCTGCTAAATCAAGAGTCAGTGTTAGAATGTGGCAATCATATAGAAAATAAAGATGTCAAGTTAATTCAGTTGCCTCGTCAATTAAAAATATGATTAGAGGTGTGACCACTGGTTATAAATTCAAAATGGTATTGGCATATGCTCACTTTCCAATCATTATTAATCTCTTAGATAAAGGTTTGGGAATTGAAATCAAGAATTTCCTTGGTGAAAAGATCATCAGAACAATCAAATGTCTTCCAGGAGTAACAATTACCAGAAATGAAGCTGAAGAAAAGAGTATTATAATAATCATATCAATTATATAGATGTTTTAACTCTCTAAGGTAATGATTTGAATAATGTTTCACTTACCTGTGCACTTATTCATTAAGCATGTGCTGTTAAGAATAAAGATATTAGACAATTCTTAGATGGAATTTATGTTAGTGAAAAGCGTCTAGAAATTTGATAAATATATATTTAGATATAAGTACAATAATATTTATATGTGTTTAATAATTAATCAATAATTACGTCTCTCTCTATTGGCTTTATTCATTCGCTTGATTTTCTTTCTTTTTTACTTTCTTTTATGTTTCTTAAGTTTAGCTGGCTTTCTTCTAAAAGTACTGATTGTCAATATAGAAGTATCAGGCAATATAGGTTTTGTGAAACCCATACTTAATAAATTTGTATACAAATGTAATTATGGGTATTGCATCCAAGACAAACATCTAGTTGACCTAATCAATCTAGACGCCATACCCAACATTAATCTTAAATTCATTAAATAAATTATTAAATATTATTTATATTTTTCACACACACTATTTAATTCAAATCTGTTCTAAATTTTTGTTTAAGTATTATTCTTTTAGCTATTTATAATTTAATCCATTTTTCTACAGGAATTACACACCCTTCTTATGTATTAACTACCAAGACTATTTATTTTAAGAACAAAACTTATCTAAATATAGCAAAACAATTAAAGTAAGCCATAAATTCTAAGGATAATTTTGTTCATTCTTCCATCCTTCAACATTTATTTGCTATTCTATTTTTTCATCATACAAAAAACAACCATTAGCTTAAGCAAATTATATTAATGCTTCATATTCAATTTGATTAAACTAGATCTTCTATTATTAGGCCTTACTTTATATTAACTTATTTTCAACAAACTCTTCATCTTCATCTTCATCTTCATCCTCAAAAAGACATTTTTTTTACCTATCTCTATCTCTAGATCTTTCTTTTTTTTCTTATTCTAATTCTTCTACTTCTCGTCTTAATTTCTCTTTTTCTCTTAATATTAGTTCTTTCATTTATTTTTCTTATAATATTTGATTTTTTTACTATCCTCTTGAACTTAATTTTTATCTTAATAATTTTTGTTCTTCTTCCTATTTTCTTAATCTAAATTCTTCTTATAATATTAGTTCTTCTTCCTATTTTCTTAATATAAATTCTTCTTATAATATTTGTTCTTCTTTCTATTTTCTTAATCTAAATACTTCTTATATTACTTGTTCTTTTTCCTATTTTTTTAATCTTAAATTACCTTAGTTTGCCTCTAAATTTTTCATTTTCACATCTGTACCTCTATAATTTAATTGTGACATTGGTTTCTCATATTTAATTTATCTTGACATTTGACATTTAGCTCTTTTCATTCCTCCTGAACAATTATAGGGATTTACCATTAAATTAATATGATCTTCTTCATTATTGTGTTTATTTGAAGTGATATACAATTTTTATCTCATCTATTATTTAAATTGATCTTCTAATTCACAAACCTCACATACAAAAGCTGTTTTAGTACTTAATATCTAGTGAGTTATTGATGTATTTATAATATCTTGCTCATCAATTGTTTATTTGTCAATCTTTATAAAATTTAAATTATTATCCCCGTAATTAAGACTATTTTCATAAAAAGTGATAAGTTTATAGGCAGCTAATTTATGAAAGTATTCATTTTCTTATGAATTCTTTAAATTTAATGAAACAGTATATTTGATTGGTTTTTAATCTTATGGATCAAAGCAACTTAAAGTGAATTATAAATCATCATTCTATTAATCAATAGAAAATAAGATTTAAATAGTTAATTCTTAATTCTTCTTTAAACAAACAATTGATTCTGGATTAGGAATTATTTAAGCAATACTATTGACATTACACTCTAAATTAAATGCATTTAAATAAGGAGTTAAGGAATCTTCTAATAAATCAATTACTTTTGCATTAATATCTTCATCATCACTAACAAATTAATATTTACCATTTCCAACCTCTGCTAAACGTTTTATTAAATATTAACTGCATCCCTCTCCTATTCCAATTGTGTAAACTCTAGTTTCTGCTTTATTTTTTTACTTCACTAATTCTATTATAGGTGGGGCATCAACTTCTCCATCTGTAAGTAAGAAAATATTCAGCGTAGTATTTGTTGATTTCCCTTAAAATTTATTATATATAACTTCTTATAATGGTCTAAGAATTTCTGTTCCTTACATATTTGCACTCATATTCTGGACATGCTTAAGAGCTTCTTCTAAAGTATCTTAAGAATATTTTTTAGAATCAGTCCATAATGATCTAAACGTTGTTCCAAATGAAATTATGTTGAATGTACAATCTTCTGGTAAACTTTTTAAAAATAAAATTAATGATTATTTTGCTTTTTCAATTCTTTTCCCGCTCATAGATCCACTTCTATCTATGAAAAATACATAATTTCCTCTGTTAATTACTTGATCATCAGCTCTATTATATCCTTCTAAATATTATGAATATGCATCATCTAAAGTTATTTAATTAAACTTTGGAATANTTCTTATAATATTTGTTCTTCTTTCTATTTTCTTAATCTAAATACTTCTTATATTACTTGTTCTTTTTCCTATTTTTTTAATCTTAAATTACCTTAGTTTGCCTCTAAATTTTTCATTTTCACATCTGTACCTCTATAATTTAATTGTGACATTGGTTTCTCATATTTAATTTATCTTGACATTTGACATTTAGCTCTTTTCATTCCTCCTGAACAATTATAGGGATTTACCATTAAATTAATATGATCTTCTTCATTATTGTGTTTATTTGAAGTGATATACAATTTTTATCTCATCTATTATTTAAATTGATCTTCTAATTCACAAACCTCACATACAAAAGCTGTTTTAGTACTTAATATCTAGTGAGTTATTGATGTATTTATAATATCTTGCTCATCAATTGTTTATTTGTCAATCTTTATAAAATTTAAATTATTATCCCCGTAATTAAGACTATTTTCATAAAAAGTGATAAGTTTATAGGCAGCTAATTTATGAAAGTATTCATTTTCTTATGAATTCTTTAAATTTAATGAAACAGTATATTTGATTGGTTTTTAATCTTATGGATCAAAGCAACTTAAAGTGAATTATAAATCATCATTCTATTAATCAATAGAAAATAAGATTTAAATAGTTAATTCTTAATTCTTCTTTAAACAAACAATTGATTCTGGATTAGGAATTATTTAAGCAATACTATTGACATTACACTCTAAATTAAATGCATTTAAATAAGGAGTTAAGGAATCTTCTAATAAATCAATTACTTTTGCATTAATATCTTCATCATCACTAACAAATTAATATTTACCATTTCCAACCTCTGCTAAACGTTTTATTAAATATTAACTGCATCCCTCTCCTATTCCAATTGTGTAAACTCTAGTTTCTGCTTTATTTTTTTACTTCACTAATTCTATTATAGGTGGGGCATCAACTTCTCCATCTGTAAGTAAGAAAATATTCAGCGTAGTATTTGTTGATTTCCCTTAAAATTTATTATATATAACTTCTTATAATGGTCTAAGAATTTCTGTTCCTTACATATTTGCACTCATATTCTGGACATGCTTAAGAGCTTCTTCTAAAGTATCTTAAGAATATTTTTTAGAATCAGTCCATAATGATCTAAACGTTGTTCCAAATGAAATTATGTTGAATGTACAATCTTCTGGTAAACTTTTTAAAAATAAAATTAATGATTATTTTGCTTTTTCAATTCTTTTCCCGCTCATAGATCCACTTCTATCTATGAAAAATACATAATTTCCTCTGTTAATTACTTGATCATCAGCTCTATTATATCCTTCTAAATATTATGAATATGCATCATCTAAAGTTATTTAATTAAACTTTGGAATAAATGTTAATGTAGCGCAATATTTTTATGTAAATAATGCATCAATATTTGTATGACTTAAAAATGCTCTAGGTAAATTAATATCATCACTTGATAATAGTAATGTAAATTATTTTGTTGGATTAAAATTGGATGGAGTATCCTCTAACATCAAATTCAGCTTTTTAGGATTTATTTCCTCTAATTCTAATGTCTACTTTGCATATTCATTTTTAGCATTTCCACTTAAAATTGAGTGGGTTGGACATTTGTAATAAGTGATTGCAGTACCAATATCTATTAAAACACTAATATTTTGCTTGAAATTGAATTCAAATTTTTCAATCAATACATACTGTTAAACATATCTGTTCAATCTTTCATAATATATATTTTTAGTTCTCTATTATTACTCTTAGCTAAAATAGTTTTTATCAATCATAGGATATACTTCAACTTTCCAAAATTTATTCAAGAATACTTCAAGAGGTTATATATATTCAAAAGTGATTTTTAGTTATTTATTTGGAGCAAGGGCTCCAATCTTTACTCTGTTTATTTCAGGAAATTCTTCATCTTTTTCACTATAAGCCATCGTTTTACCTTACTTTAAACCTTCTTCATATTCCTTTTTTGCTTCTTCTTTCTCCTTGACTATTCCATATACTTTTGAATCTCCTAATTCTACTATCATTTTTGTTACGGCAGCATTTTTATTTATTGAAAATAAGTATTCTAATTCTATTGGTTCATTGTAGCCTTAAGTTGAATAGGTTTATTGTAATTCTACAATTAAAAAGCCTGGATTAACTTTTAAAAAATAATGAACCTCCTTTAGAGGTACAGGAAGTTTTCTTATTAAATCATAACACACAAAGACTCTATGTGGATATAAGCAGCAGATTTTCTTTTCTTTCTTTCCAAAATTATTATTTTAAGAAACTATTTATGGGTTAAATAATTAGTTTGTTATCATTTTATTATTTCTTATAGGTTTTATAAAATAGATTTCTTAAATTGAGATTTTGATTATTTCTGACTAATTAAAGAATTTATAATAAAATATATATTATGTATTATAATTAAAAAATAAAAGTC